GTAGTATACGTCAATCACACGCGCCGTTGATTCTCTCGTGAAAAAAGGGAATTATTATATTTCTCTTCATAATTGCGTTTCACCTATGTATAGTTTGCCTTTAAATTTTGCTGATTTTTTTTAGTTGGTAAAAGGGCTTTAATTCCTCCAATCAGCTTTAAAATAATTTGGCTGATTAACAAGTATTGTTTTTTTCCTATCACTCGTGTGATTACGGAGCACACTTCAATTGAGTATACGAAACCAATGGTAATCCCATCAGCCAATCAGTACAAAGAAAAATCTATCAGGAGCCAATCAGAGCCGCTCAAATCATAACCCAGTAAACAGCCTAAAACGCGGGAAATCGTGAGTGATCAAGCGGTGATTGGTTTTAGATTTGAATCTGATTGGTTAAGAGGATAGCATGACTTTTCTGGACCAATGAGAGAGCGAAATCATTTAAGAAAAAGCAAAGAAATCCCAGGTCACTTAACCCGGATCGCATACCAGAAGAAGGCTACACCGTCAACCAGCTAGGGAAGAAATGCGTTTATAGCTAGAAAAAATTTAAAAATTTTTCCATACCGAGTCCAGTGGTCTCTTGAGCAGGTTAGTGTAATTCAAAACACTCTTGTGGATATAGTCTGAATTATTCACCCACCAGGAGGCAAAGTCTCGTATCCGAGTAATATCAGACAGCTCATTCTTTATCTGTAAATTAAAGCATGTAATATATTAGTCCGATTAAAACTTAAGTAATAATTCCCACAATTGTGTAGTGTATAGCCTACTGCACACGAAAAACCACCACGCGCAGTTCGCAAACACCTTCTGCTATGGCTAAAGTGGAAAGCTTCTAACTGGTACCACTAATTGCCGAGAGAGCTGGTTGGTAAAAACCAGGCGTCCAAATGGCGGCGTCCGAAGTCAGTTTAAGCGGATCAATGCTAGTACCTGAGCAACTGCCCACCTACCCCTACCCCTCCCCTAAACCAACATCAACCCTTGCTTGTTATCATTTGACTGCTGTTGGGTTAGGGGAGGAGTTGGTGTGCGGCTGCTCAGCTACTGACATTGATCCTTATTAGGATACATTAAGTAGCATACTTCTCTTTTATAAGACTACATTAAAATCTCACCTGTTGAATGATATAACGGGTCACATTGTTATCAGGAGTGTACAGGATCTTTCCCTTTAAGAACAATGAGCTGAATTGAACAAATCCCGTATCTCTATCCCCTTGACCTGCGTTTCCGCTTACGCCGCCCACACTGCGTACGAACTGGTTCAAATAACAGTTACATCCCGCGTCCTCTGTGAACGAGACATTAAAGGGGATTAGCTTTGAGTGAAACACTATATTAACATTTAGGAACTTTACAGTTTACAGCGTCTTGGACGATTCACCAAAAGGAAATAGATATATAGAGCAATTACGTTGGTTTTATTTGAAACACTATATTAACATTTAGGAAACAGTAGATATACAGAGCAATTACGTTGGTTTTATTTTCGCTCTGTAATTGGTTCAGAGAATCGTGCCACCCTCTTGACAAATCAGATTCAAAACAAAAAACCAATCACGACTTGGTCGCCCGCGCTTTCCCGCCCTTAAGGCTGTATGGTTGTTTTCACCCAGAGTTCTCATTGGCCGTTGTGATTTCTTTAATTAAGTTCTAGATTTGTAAAACATACCAGCTTTGTAGAAACAGAAGCGAGTTCCAGGTTTCGAGGAATCAAAACAGCAACCCCTTCGTTTGCATTGTTCCTCTGAGATGCCTGGCCAACCACAGTCAACTCGCCACTTTGGATCAATGACTGTACAAGAGTCTGGAAAGAAAGTATCATAAAAACCGAGAAAATCGTCATGTAATCAATAGAATAAAAGGGGTGAGTTTCTGACGAAACTGTGGTGCTGCGTCGGTGGGAGAGTATAACTGTCTAATTAAATATAATCAACTAAGTTGATAACTTAAATTGGTCACCGTAAAGAATTTTTTCAAGCTGAAGTTTCGAGCGTTAGCCTATCGTCAGGGCGAATGACGTGGGGCTTGCGCTCGAAACGTCAGCTTTGAAACTCTTCACGGTGGCCAATTCACGTTACCAACTCGGTTGATACTACTAAATTAATTATAATGCTTTAACTATCAAAGATCGAGGATTGACACGATCAAAGAACTTTTTGAGGATCTTCATTCGTAGTTTCGAGGAAACGATACTCGTATGCAAAGCAATATCGATGGACAAAGCGCTTGCATGTCACTTCTCTTTTAATACACGGGCCGCTCGCACATCGGAATATGTTTTCATATCACACGAGACTCAAGCTCTAGTAAAGTAAAGTAAGTAACTATTTCAACTCGGGTTGATGAGGCTGATGAAGCCCCTAGCAGTACATGCTAATAAGAAAATAACGAAAAAGGAAAAGTTCAGGATATCAAAAATAATCAGTTAATCACTAACTTTCTTACTACTTTTATTAAATTTGTCACAATCCTAACTCTTAAAATCATAACAGTGGGGAAATCTTAGAAGATTGTACAAGACAAATGTAACTCTTTTACGGCATTCTTAAATTCCTTAAGAATTGCCGTTAAGCGCAATTCATCCGGAAAGGAATTCCACACATTGGCACCAATAAAAGATGTAAATTTTAAGCCAAAGTTTGCAGTTTTCTTACGCAGGACGACGAGCTTGTTAGTGTACCCCCTAAAATTTGTCACATTATTACGTACGACAAACAAGTCGCTTAAATATTCCGGTAAAATGCCGTTTATAGCTTTAAAAATTAATATGGCAACGTCCTGTAGTCGAAGATTGGACAAAGTTAAACCGTCAAGCCCTGTTTGAGAGTTAACTTCAACAAATTATCTAGAAAATAAGCAAAGAAAAAGCAGTAACACTCACCCTTATCCCCAGTGACATTATACTTGTCGTAAACAGATGTAAGATTTGAGCAAGACTTTTCATCAGCTTTCCTTTTTGCCTTTTCTTCTTCATCATCATCATATCGGGCCAAATTCATATTCTGCGTCATATTCAAATAATAGTCTATAGGATTGACGCCAGGTGGAACATCATCAAAAGTACCATTCGGCAAATCTTGGCCACACGCGGCTGCCAACAATCCAAGAGGGGCTTGTTGCCAGCCTTGGCCCTGGCTTCCATTCGATCCACCGCCACTTCCAGTACCATCGTCCTCAGGCAGACTGCGACCATTACCACAAAGTGTTTCTCGGAAACCTCCACCATTATCTCTGTCATTAAATTCTTGCATAAGATAAAAATAGTCCCTTGAGACCTGAGAGAGGGATTCTAAGGCTTGAACCTGGAAATAAATTTTAAAAAAGATTGCAGATTTTAATCAAATGTAACTTTTTTACTGTATTTATGATATTTTTAAATTTTTGGAATTACCCACTTAAATTTGATTCTTAAACCTATATATAAATTATTTAATTTTTGTATAGATATATACGTATTTTTTTTGAGGGCCACTAGCTTATATGTTTTTAACAATCGTGTGTCACCCTCATTAAATGAAGACATTACTTACTTACTTACAAATTACTTACAAATTAAATAACCACTTTCTGCTAGTGAATTCAAGTACAATTAACCCTTTAAACTCTTAGAGTGACTAGCATCTAATTTCTCCTTACAATATCCCTCCTAAAATCACACATTAAGGTCATGAGAATAAAGGAAATGGTCACCAGGGAAGGAACCTTTTGATTGGCAAACAAATTCTGCTTGTCAGCACCTTAGGAAATGTATCAAGAAAAGTGTGGAGAATATGCAAACTGATGTTAGGGTGTTTAGTAAAGAGTTACAACTGGGTAAATAAGTGGTAAAAGTGTTGAAAGAGACTAGGATGACAGCAGTGTTTATTTCAAGTGTTTTAAGAATAATGGTCATTTTGTACTCAGATGTCAAGTAAGGAATGATGCTCAACAGTTGCCATGCAAGTGGAAGAAAGATTCAGTTCAAGTATTTGGACATTAGGTTATTGTAAATCCTCACAGTCACCCTTGAAACAACAGAATAACAGCAGATCACTTCGGAAGCTCAACTGGAGCCTTGATCCTGAAGGTTTTTAAGAATCAAGAATTAAGAAACAAGGTTCTAATTTTGAGGGGCTGTCAACTTACTTTTGAGCAGTACTGTATGGAATGGATTGGAATCACGAATACATATGGAATTACTCAGAGTATTGTGGTGTTATCAATACCATAATATCAATACAACCAGGTCACTGAGCAAGAATGTCTGAAACTAATTTATACAATTATTATTAAGAAGACCATTAATCAAATATAGGTCAATATATACTTACATCTTCAGCAATATTCCGATAATCATTTGTTAAGGAGTTCAGCACATCTGTCAAATTTCCTCGGTAACTCTAATAAAATAAACAAAAACACAAATTCAAATTAAATAACATCAAACAGGATTTAATAATTTAACTCCCAATACCTGACTGTTAATTCTCCCCTCTAGATCAAGATAACAACTTCTACCTGATAAGTTTGATTATTTTCATTACCTGTTTGCTGGATAGTGTATGAATATTATAGCAAGAAGTTACATGTTATTATCACTTCTGGAAGTAAAAAGTCTATAAAGAAAGTCTCAGGGAAACTACAACCGATCATAAATTTTATTTGGTATAGAGTCACCATCTTATGGCTTCAAAAAGTACAGTCCCATTTTGCTAATCTTTCAATTGCATCCTCATCTTTAAATTGCATCCTCATTCTGTCAGCAACTTTTCCCTGAGCATCTTTTACATGTAGATTCTACCTTGTGTACTATTGAAATTAATAATCTAGCACAGACAGTAACATTTGTCAAGAGGAATGTTTTGGGTTGCAATACCTGAAGGTCAGTGACATTTGGCACTTTGATCTGAGTTTGTAATTCACTTCCAAGTTCACCAAGAACAGTGTTATTCAGTTTGCACAAAGCCATCTTCACCTCAGTCTGCAATGTTCAAAACAAAAATAAAAAATAATTAAACTATATCATAAGCTGAATTGTACATGCTTTTTGATTGGTTCTTGCACATGATCTATTGGAGGATAGAAGCATGGATTTCATATAAAACAAAAAATATTCCATGTTGTCATGGGTCTGTACAGTAATGGATCACAGAGTATGTCAAAAATGTATTAAGAACATCACTGACACACAGGGCTGTGTCTCGTGGGCCAATTTTTGTTCTTACATCAACTGATTACTGAACAGATGCAGAGCAACATTGACTCAATTAACCCTTTACCTCCCAGATCAAATTTGTAATTCTCCTTTCTGTCAATCATACAATTCTCATAATGTTAGTTCAGAGAATTTAGTATTGGATCAACTAATTATCCCCAAATTGATATTTTTCTTTATTCTCAGCACTTATCTGGTTGATATTGTCTTGATATTGTAAAGAGAAATTCTGTCTTAGTCACCCAAGGGAGTTAAAGGGTTTATTAAATGCTGCAATCAATCCTTTTATAGAAGTAAGTTAGTAAAATAATACTATAAAAAAAAAATTACCCATCTATCAGCTTTGTGCAATTTACAACTAACAGCAGGTAGTTGCTTAAAATCAACCTACCACATTTCCAGGGCCACTGAGAATTTCTCCAAGATTAACTGGAGATTGAGCATCACAGATGACCTGCCTCACAAGACTTCCACTGACTCTTCCTTCAGACTGCAAAATTACAACATGAAAATTTGAAGTTAAATCCCTGCTATTAGGTACCAAGCAGATTTTTAGAATGTAGCAGAAATTTTCCAGGTCCAAGTTGTTCAAAGGGCAGATAATGCTATCCAACAGAGAAATCGCTACAAACAATACTGTGATAACCTCCACAAAGTGATTTATCCAGTGGATAGCACAATCTGCCATTTGTTATAGGAAATTTAGAAGCAGGAACAATTCAAAACTGTTTAGAGTAATGCAAGAATATTCTTTTTGTATGACTATGAATATATATAGAAAAGTTGCCTGGAACACCAAATTTTAACCAGGCACCTTTGCAAAGTTGCTAGAGAATTCTCAAAACTCCAACTCCAGATGAACAACTCTATCTTCACCATTACCTTTTCCTTTTATTCCTTTTAAAAATTGAAATTTAACACTTAATGTAACTAACAAATCATTCAACCAAACAAAATAAACAATCTACACCTAAATATTAACTTTTTCTTTCCATACCCTAAGACTATCTTCAATTCTCCATAAAAGCAGAGCCCAAAGTAAGTTCCTTTGTTGGCTTTCACCAGATGACAGGAATGGAAAGTAGCTGAGTGGATTTTGAGGTGGCCATGATAATGAGTCTGGTGTTGACATCATATATGGCTGAGCAAATTCTGCAATCTGAAAAAGACAAAAAAGAAGGCCCTCTAACACAGCATTCTCAGTATCAACCCTGTACACTCCCAAGATCTCATTAGTAATTCTCATTACTGTTTGCCATACCATTCTTACCATGTTAGTTTGGATAATTTGGTATTGGATCAACTTATAAGTATTCCATTATTGAAATATTTCCTCACTACTTCTCTACTTGATATTGTATTGATATCATGACAAGAAATTCTGTCTTGGTCACTCATGAGAATTTCCAGGGTTAAGCCCTTATTGAAGAATTGTCAAGGAGAGGGGCTTTATTACTAATTATCTGTAGTTAGGTGTCAAGTGAGGGATGATGCTTAACAGTTTCCATGCTAGTGTAAGAACAGGTCAGTTGAATTATTTGGACATTAGGTTGTTGTAAATCCTCACAATCACCCCTGAAACAACAGATTACTTTGGAAGCTCAACTGGAGCCTCATGGATTTTTCAACCTTGATAGATTTTTTCAAACCCTGGCCACATGTTTCAATCCTGAAACATGTAGCCAAGGTTTAAAACAGTAAGGTCAAACCCACAGGCTTACAAGGAAAGAGGAGACTTTAATCATGGAGTTAATCAATCAGTGTGCTCAAAAAAGTGCTATTCACTGATGTGGTATATACCAATGACTCAAACCTAAAATGTGCTGCATTCCAAAGTTTGACACAGCTTCCAACAACATCATACATGTGCTTACCTTTTGCACATTCACTGTGCTACTTAAGAGCTTTGATATCACTCTTGGGCTGAGATTAGTTTTGTTGTAAAGAAATTCCTGAAATTCAGCAGGATCCTTCAGTAACTGGTCAAGTGGGACAGCTATATATATAAAAAAAAAAACCACACCAGGTTCAACATGATGCAACTCCTCTAACTGCAATCTAATGTACAGAAAATTCCAGAGGATGGGATGTCCAACATTAGCTTCACTACCTTGTGACTAAGAGTCATTGTCAGTTGCTTTCAGTTATTACCTTTTCAGTTTACTACATGTAGATAATACTGTAATTCCAAATTGAAGTTATTGTTAGTAATAGTTATTAACAATTTTAATTAGAAAAAGGAAACACTGTTATCATCTGTAACATTTGCAATGTTCTCCTTTTTAGGCAATATCAGTAACATTTATATCTTGCAGTTATTAAACCTCTTGTAACTACTGCCTAAAACTGTTAGAAATTCTTGAAAATACAACAGGTAAAAGGATTGCTTTACCAGTTTGAAAATTTCATTTACCCATGATAAGGGAGAACAATGATTTGTCCAAATAAATAATCATATCTACACAAAGGTTGATGTAAAGAGACTCTAAGCATATCAAGTAAATTTTCTTAAACAAGACCTTGTTTATGACAAAGGATGCTCTATTGCAGGAAATTTTATCCCACATCAGATCGATCTTTTAAGACAGTATGCTCTCGTTGCTGAAGAATTTTCAATACCTGATAGATTATATCCACGCCACTGTAGTTGCCTAGATCTCACTAAGTCAGACCAAGCTTGATAATCCCTCTCAAAATTTGAGCGATCTGAATTAATTCTAAGAATTCTTTCTCTAGTTGTGCTGTTTGCCATAAGAGGAAGGGCATCCTCAATCAATCTACCCAAACTGTAAATGAAAAGAAACTCAGTGTCAAGTTAATTTGGTAAAAAGCTTGTTTAACAGTTGTCTACTGTAGTCTGGATGTTTTAAAATATGCGTAGATTTAAAATTTAGGTATGGGTATAGTTGTTTCTCAGATCATAAGTGATAAATACACATTACTGTGAAGATCGCTTTCATATTCACATATTAATCCGCAATTCATATATACGACTTTCATATATTCATAATCGTTTATTCGCCACTTCACTGGTTTATTTGGAATCAACATAATGACCAGCTCCCAGTTGGCTTGTTAGCTCAGTTGGCAGAGTGCTGCATTGGTATCACAGAGGACACGAGTTCCCATAAAGGCCTGAATATTTATTCAGGCCTTACTTTCACTACTGCTCAAGTAGTGTTCATTACTGCGAAGATGGCTTTCATATTCACAAAATCTGAACAATGTCAGCCTCTGAGCTACTACACACTTACCCCTTCCCCTTACCCAACAACAGTCATACCACTCTGATAAAACTAAGTAACAGCTGCCCAAAAATTCCAGCCAGCTATCATCTCTTTCGAAGCAAGCAAATTTTGCCAGCAAATTTTTTCCTTACTGAGTAATCCTGCACCAAAATCCAGCCACCTTGGACTGTTTTTCAGGCAGCCAACTTGCCTGGAGTGGGCACTTGGCAACAACCCTGTAAGACTTGTCTGTCTCTTAGTAGTTCCAGACCAAAATAATTATGCCCGCCTACCTTGAACTTCTCAGATTTGGCAATCCATTCAGCAGCTCATCAGGATCATTTGTTTTTGTGTTTTTAAAGTCACACAAAAATGATCTTGCAAATGGGAAAAAACCAGCTGATGGAAGTGCACGTGGTCTGTAAATACCTATTGAACAAGAACAAACAAAAAACATTCAAAGTTGACAAAACAGAGTAAATAAAAATGTTTTATAGGAATAAGTCTCTAGTAATAAAAACTGTGGCGCTGTTTCAGTGGGGGGTGTAGCAAGCTATTGTGGTTTTATCAACCGAGTTGATATATTTAAATTGGCCACTATATTCCAGGTGTTTGGCATTGAACAAGGGCCAATTTATGGTATCAGCTCAGTTCAATTTTTTTTTTTTTACCAGTTTGACTACTTTTTCTTTGTCCCACACTCGTGACAAGACAAAAAAGATCTTTCTTAATTACTTCTACTATTGTCTGATGACATTATCAAACTCTAAAAAAAAATTATCCAAGTTTCAATTGAAAATATTTCAACCATGAATCACAACTTGCAGAATGTCACTGTCTGGTAAAGTGAAATAATTATTACAAGGTCAGAATAAATAATATTTTATACTTACTATCAGGCATATTTGTAGCACCATAATTTTTACGATTACGTATTGCAACCAGAATTATAAAGAGCACTAGTGGCCAAACAATTTCCACCAAATTTCTCAGCTGAAATCAGTAAACAGTGGAACAGTTAATTAATACTTGCAACTTAACTCTTAATTTCCATAATATATAATACATTCGTCAAAACAAGAGAAGTATTATCTATGGGTGGTGATTATTATGCATGACAAACAATAACTAAATGTCGATTAAGTTTTAACTAGCACATTATATACGTAGTTCTATCATTTGCTTAATCACATCTTTATAAAACCTCAAATTAAAAAACAATGGTCCTTTAGTGTACTCACTTCAACATTTAAATCAGTGTTTTTTTCTGCATACTGCTTTTAACATAATTTCAGTTCCATTGAGTGATCTACAAATTATTTGTTGAATAATGTATATAAGGTAAAATAAAAGGTAATAGTCACCATTGCAATGAATGAAAAAAAACCTTATTGTTAAAAGCATTCTGGTAAATGTGTGTCTTTGATATAGTCAACTAAGTTTATCCTGGATAACTTGGACTTAAACCAAAATAAAATCTTAATGCTTCACAAGGTGACAGAAAACCAGTCAACCTAATCACCTAAAGAAGATTATAAACATGCAGCTGCCTTGTTATGGATCTACACTAAAATAGACTACTTTATCAATCAGAGACAAAACTTATTCCTAGGATTAAAGTAAACACAGTTATTAATCAGGCATTTCAGAGAAGTACTGTTGATAATGTACAGTTTATGGCCAAAAGGCACACTGACAGAGGGCATAATTGTGAAATATCAGCTGGCATACAAGTACATTGTACAAGTGTGTCTTCCTTATGAATATCAGCCAAGGGCAACAGTACTAGGTTGATCTTCAACACAGGGGTTTAAATCATTTAAAGCACAAGTTAGGGCCACTTTTATCTAAAATAATTCTGAATAGATTCCTTTAGTTTTTGTAAACATTTTGTGTTTCAATGATTCATACTAGACAATTAGTTAAAACTAAAATTTAACCCACGCAGTCCTTAAAATGAAAGTAACATTCCAAAACAGTGAAGGTATGTATTGAAAACTTTGTAAATATTTTTATAGACTAAACCTTAAGAACACTGTATAAGTACAAACTGTAAGTGTACACATCATGGTCCAATCTTTTCCTCAGCTAATAATTCAAACCTCCTTCATATTTTTCATTTGCTACTGTATCAGATATCTATCTATCTATCTATCTAAATATCTATCTATATATATATATATATATATATATATATATACATACATAAGTTAAAGAGTTAAAGAGAATGCATCAATTCTCTGTGACTCTGAGTTTTGCGCTTAAGCAAAGTTCCTTAGTTCTGTCTGACGAGCACTTAGGCACGAAACTCAGAGTCACAGAGAATCAATGTGTCCTCTTTAATTCTTTAACTTCTGTATACTTAGCTCTGTTACCACAGCATTGGGCACTTTATGCCAAGGTAAACTTTACCCCCACATTCATTTACATATATACACACATATATACTGATCTAGAAAGAGAACAATTACTTTTAAACTTTCACGTCAAGGAATTATTTGTACAACATAGTAATTATAGTTTGTTATCATTAACAATCATCAATGTTTCATTATTATAGCATCACAATATAAACATTGTTTGTGTTGATTACAAATAGAAATGATTTGGGATTACATCTGAGACAACTGCACCCTAAACTCCACCATTCAAGTAGTAGAACATATTTTTAAAAAGTGTTAATGAAGAGGAACATAGATGAACTAGTATCCACAATAGTTCAAGCATGATCAGGATGTCTTCCTCCTTAAGCAACTTCTTTGAGTGACTGCTAATAAATCTTACACATTCTAGAATGTCATCTCCTTAAAAAGTCAGTAATACTATCTTATCATTTACACTAACAAGTCATTGCTGACCATATTTCAGTCAATTTTACAATTTTTTCACCCAAGAAAGGCTTTCATAAAAACTAAAGTGCAATATCTACTTCTTTATCTTTTCTCCCATCTTTCCGCTTTTGCTCTATCTTTCAGTTCCACAACAGGAAGGGGTTCAAGTGGCATAGCATGCAAGCTAACACAAAAAACATCTGCTAAATCAAGGACCAAAAAAAAAATAGAAAAAGAACTCAAAACTTGCAAATCTTTCAATATTTGATAAATCAACCGCCAATTAACTTTATGGCTCTGGGTGCCCACACCTTTATTTAAGAAATTTCATGGAACTAACGCCTCTCAACTCTAAGTTGGTTGAAGTGAGTTTATCATGAATATGCAGAGAGCAATACTTCAAGAATGCTATGATAAAAGGCTGTTAGAATACTCAGTTGGTATTTTACTGGTACTGGTACGTTTTTCCTCTCTAAAAAAGTAAAATCCAAGATTTGCTTTTAACTAAAGCAACTTCCTTCAAGCAAGGACGGGATTAACTGGTCTGGTTTTCAATAGTGAAACTGTTCCATCACAGTGGCGAGTTGCCGATTTTCGGCTCAGTTAGTCAATATGTAATCTATTTTCACCAAGTTAAAGTTAAAATCGATGAAAGTTTTTTCCTTTAAAAACTTTACCCTGAGTCGCTAAGCAATTGAGAATAATGGTAAAACATTTCGTAGAAGGTAAATCGAAGGCGGTTTGCAATATTTGTCCAAATATACGTCATTTGATATTTGGCTACGTCACAGTCCTGAAATGGACGGTGCACGAGGAAAAACGCCTAAATCCTTTACTCGGAAACTTCAACTTCCAAAGTTTAATTTTCCTAAATAAAATATACGATATGGAACGAATAAAAATGACACTGCTTCGCCGACATACAAGTCTCGCTCAAGTTGTAAACAAAGAGCTTTGATCTAATTGACAGAAACGCCGTAGACCAAAACAAGAAAGGAGCTAAAGTGAAAATCGCACAAAATTACCAGAACGAATCCTCACTTTACAACATCTTTCGCATTCTTAAGTCATGTGTTCAAAAAAAGTGTCTTGAAACGAGCTCATCACAGCTGTAAGGCAAGAGAGATAATCTGCGACTTTCTTACACAAAAAGGACGACAATTTCTGACGAAACAAGAACCCAAGGTAACGAACGCAGGTACCTGTGGCGATCGATAGTTTGCAAGGAACGCAGCTGCTCCAAAGAATGAAAATAAAGCAAAGGGTTTAAATTTTTTTCCCTGCAAGAAACTTAGGCATCCATCCACATCATATCCTCGATGAACAAAACATCAGGCGCGCTATGAAAAAATGTCATTAATAGGTGTGTATTTCTGTTTAATACTTACGTGCTGACGCTTTCGAAGCGTAAAGTTTTTCCATACGAGTAATTTGAGTTGGTCCAAGAACTTCATTGTCAGACGATGCGGCCGACAAGGACCAAACGATTTTAATCCTAACTCTGTGGCCTAAAAACAAACGTATTTGACTATCGTTACGTAATCACATGAAACTGAAACAGTAAAAAATGTAAAGAGGAAAACTCCGTTTTCCAAGAATTAACCCAACTTACCTCTCACGAAACGCGAGGGATTTTGCGTTACCAAACTTTTAACGCTATTTTTTCCCCTCTCCCATCAAGATTTCCCAATATTTTTGAAACCCAAAGACAGCTAAAACTTTAGCTGCTAAAGTTTGGGAATTTTTCGGCCGCTAAAGAGAAAAATATGATGGTAGGCTTTCCAGGCTATGTTGACACTGATATCTTCCTGTTCTGCTGAAGGCTTTGCGGTGCCGTTGTGTAATCAGACTTGTTTACAGTGAGGAGAGAGGACTGGACAAACTGCTAAGTCATCTTCTCCGGAGACACTTACGACGAAATCCGACTAGATATAGTGCAGTGAAAATATCAGGGACAAAGTCTCGTCAAGCTTCGGTAAACAGTCGTCATCATTCGGAATGTAACTCTTAGTGTAGTCACCAGTGTTCTCTCATATCTTTTTCAGCGCCTTACATTTTTCGGACTTTAAAGAATACAGGTGAATCGGTTGTTCGAGATGGTTTCTTTTGTTTGTTTCGTTGAATAGAGGCTCATGAAAGATGTAACGTCAGTTAACTGCTGTTATAATATTTTTTTGAAAGGTAAGTTGATTAAAAATTGTGGCGAACATTACCGGAAATCATGTCGTTCCGAAAAGCCCTTTTTAAAGCAAATACACCCGCGATCGTGAAAGACAGATATGTGTCGGTTAGTTCAGAATGTTTATCTTCCAGATGTATTTTTGCGGTTGGAAATATTTAAAACCTCCACGTGAGGAAAAAAAAACAAGTTTTTTCGAAATGTCTATGACAGTACAGTCAAGTGGATTTTGATAAAAACCAATCAGATTTTCAATCGGTTAATTTTCAGTACAGCTAATATTAGATCTCTAGTATAAACCAACTAGGCCGTGACGCACTAAATATATTACCTCGTGACAACCTTTGAACGAAATTAATCGAACGCACGCAAACTCAAGCTTGAGCCAAATGTCTGAATTGTAATAAATTTTTGATTAATGATGTGTCCACCTTTTGAGAGAAAATTATTTTTATTTCAGCCCAGATAATTAGGGACTATTATTTTTGGCGAAATGTTCTGATGTCCTATAACCTGATGGGCCATCATTTGGTGTATTTTATAACTATATCTTAAATTTTCATTTCTCTATTGTGATGGTGGATTTCTTACTGCTACATCATTCTGCCGAACATAAAAAAGAATGAATTTGCCGGAGAGTGTTTTATATTTACATCAAAATTAATGAACAAGAGCCAATATGTAGACAGCTTACACTTAGAAAGAAGTTTACCATGTTTAATCTCTCCCCAGGTGTAAGTTATATTTAATAGCTTCCTCTTGAGTTTGCTTTATGATGCAAAGTGGGAACAATTTTTTAATGTCAACATCTATAAAGGATGCAACAAAAATAATTTATATTTGGCCCATGGTTTAAAAGAGGTTTTCAAGAAAAAGCCAGTTGCTGGTGGTCTACTGCCTCCTTGAAGACCACTTAGTGCTGTATATTTAGTCTGTAATAACTGGCCCTCATGTTAAGGTTTTGCCTTACACCTCCTTCTCAGGCACAGCTACCTATTACACCTTTGATGGCACAGCTTATTGAAAAATTATTGAAAACTGCCTAGGTCTAGCCTGGGGATAGTTTCTCTATTTCTTGAAGCTTCTTTGTTTAGAAACTCTTTTTTTGAGAACAAATTGATCAGATATTTTGGCTTCAGGGCTTTTGTTTGACTTAAGGGGAAACTAATTCTTGAGAAATTTCTTAAAATTTCTTGCTGTTTTTTTCTTCCTTTCCAAACATAACTGTCACAAAAACCTCTTGAGGCTGTCTTCCTTGTTTAAAGAAGACAAAGCTTTCTTTGTTTCTTGTTCAACAAAAGAGTATCAAAAAGAGCTTTGAGAAACATAGAGGATTTTGCATGTGTTCTTTCTCAAAAACAAAGGGCAGCATCATTAGGAAACCTTTAGAAATATATATTCTATACCATGCACTCTATATTTTTGAACAGGTAGAACCCTCATCCTTAATTTCTGTTACTTTTGACCACTTGTAACAAGTGCCAGGAAACCTCTATGTCATTTTTACAGAAAGCTTGTCAAATTTAAAGAAGACAAAAATCAGACAATTATGACTAAAACTGACTTGAAAATAGTTTAAAAACAATGAAAGGTCTTAAAAAATTTTATATTCCGATGCTTTCTTTGGAAAGCTTTTCTTTGAATAAAAAAGATTACATACTTAAAGCTTTCAAGAATTATTATTTTAAAACCCTTTGACCTGTTAGAGTTACCAACATCTAATTTCTCTCAAAAATATGACCTCTGATTCAAACATTAGGGTCACAAAAATAAAGGAAATGACCACCAACTAAAGAGGCTCTTGATTGTTAAATAAATTCTCCATAAGAACACCTTAGGGAATATAAAGAGAACAGTATGGAGAATATGCATCCTGGATATTAAGGGTTAAGTGGTCTTGTGGCCAGCTAAAGTGAATTAACTGAACTTTTTCTTACTTTTTTCCTGAGATAGTTTGGGTTGATTAATACAATATTTACAATACAGTGGAAAAATCAAAAATCAAAATCAAACTTGGTTACTCAAACCCCTGGGTAACTTGCACAAGATCCAGTTTACCTTGAGCCCATTTTTTCAGTCATTTACTATCAGCAAACTCAAACCCCTGCTGAATCAAATAATTTTTTCTTTCCCTTGGGGGTTCAAGTAGCTGGGTTACAGTTTATATTATAATAATATTGTCCTTAGTTGTAGGATTCTTAAACTTTGTGATATCCTATGGTACTCCAAGAAAGATTGCCAGATTTTTTTTCCTGGCAACTAAACTTTTATTTCTGGTGACCCATTAGTGATTTATGGAAAACAATTGTTAACTTTGAAAAAATTTCAGCTGAAGCCTTTAGTTAATATTACTGCTTATAAGAGGCTGGCAAAGGGATGGGAGTCCTGATCCCATTTCATGTACAAATTTAGAAATTTCACGAGTGACAAGCACTTTAAACAGCATTTCACACTTCACATATTTAAAAGGGAAACTTCAAATCTCTCTGCCCTTGCCTTACTTAAAAATTCATTTGTCTTGAACTTTTCATTTTGGGCTCATGGGAGGGTGATGTAGAAGTGTTATATCGATTGATTCAATTTAGTTCTGTATGTGCCTGGTTGAAATTTTAAAATTAATATTCCTTGTTTTTGGAACAGCTTAATGGATGTTGAGGGTTACAACGCGGATGGCACTGTACAGAGTGGAGGTGAAATGGATAAAGAACACCAACTAAATTGCTTCCAAGATTATTCACTAGAAGACAGCAAAAATTCAATAACCAGAGAAAATATGAAGTTAAGTTGTGGTGGAAACTGTACCAATTGTGATCCAGCCTTCTCTTCTCCAGATGTAATGGTAAAAGTTACAGATGAAGGAAACAGCGTTGAAACTTCTGTTGACACTTGTACAACTGACAATAGACAATGGAATTCTTTATCTCTGGCAGGTCTCCCACCAGAGTTGATTCTTGTGATTTTTTCATACCTTGATGCACGGTTTGCACTAAGTGTGTTGACAGGTGTCTGTAAACTTTTTCATCATCTGCTATCTCCTGAGTCTAGTTGGAAGACAAGGTTTGGAAAAAGATGGCCACAGAGAGATAAAAGAGAAGATTATGACTATGTGACAAGGTTAGTAACATGATCTTAATTATTTAAAATATTTGTCTAATTTTATTACTTACTGTATATTTTAAAAGATGGTTTATCTAAGTGGCTTTAGTGATTTTTTCTTTTTCTTTTTTCTTTTATTTGGGCAAGTTGCATGTAGCTAATTTTATCATTCTACTCCTCTGACTTGTGGTTTTTAAGACAGAATTGGCCTAAATTACTTTGCAAAAAGGGAATCTCTCTCTTTAGCTGCAAAATTTGATTATTAGTACAAGTACATATTTAGAATACACAGATTGGCAAAAAGATATTTCATCCTGATTTTTCTACTACGAAGTCAACAAATTTAAAATGAAAACTGAGAGGAATCAGTTCTTTTTCCTCTTCTCTTTAGTTACACTTCTCTCACTTTTGTACACCTTGGTTTATTTCAAAGTCTTGTACATGTTTAACACTAGTCTTAAGCAGCACTGGTGTAAAAAATGGCACAGATTTCTTTTAGGCTACAGTACTTGGATCAATATCAGTATCTGGGCAACTGCCCACCTACCCCTCCCCTAACTCAACAACAATCAATTGATAACAACTTAGGGTTAATGTTGGGTTAGGGGAGGGGTAGGTGGGCAGTTGCCCAGATACTGATATTGATCCCAGTACTTTTTATCAATCTTATCTGCACAAATTTTGTGGTGATAAATTTTTGGCTACATGCATAGCTTAACCCTTTGACCTTTGAGAGTGACTGGCATCTAATTTCTCCTTACAATGTTACCCTGAATTAAACATCAAGGTCATGAGAATAAAGGAAATGATCAGCAACCAAAGAAGCTCTTGATTGTTAAACAAATTCTCCTTGTCCTCACTTTAGGAAATGTATAGAGAACAGTATGGAGAATAGATATACTGATGTGAAGGTGTAAAGGGTTAAGGCTTTTAGAGAGGCTTGAAAGTTGGAAATCATGCAAACAGTTTCATGTGACTGAGTATTTTTCTCTTTCAGGATTTTCATTAAGAGGTGCTTTTCTTTTTCCTGTTTGTGTAATATATGTAAGATGAGGTCTTTTCTTTTCAGTGAGCTGATCCATCAGGGACACTAGACAACCAAACTTATAGAACCACATTTTGTGTTTGAAAGGAATGACCTCCATCTTGTCTGTAGTTCAAGATGGCAGTGCACATGTCAATTTTGTTTACAGTTGTAAGCCATTATCAATCTAAAATGCTGAAAGTCTTGAAACCTCTAGCTTCAAACCTTAAATACTGATCAAAAAGACAAATGAAATGAGAAAAAAGTGAACAAGCAAATTTGAAAATAATAAATAAGGCAGGTTTGTCTCAAGGAATATGAATGAAAATCACATGATAAGTTGTAGGAGAAAGTGTTATCCCTTTCACTCCCAAGATCTTATCAGTAATTCTCCTTACTGCTTGCCCTGTAATTCGTATAATGTTAGTTCAGAGAATTTAGTATTGGATCAACTAATTATCCTCAAATTGATCTTTTTCTTTATTCTCATCACTTATCTGGTTAATATCATATTGATATTTTAAGGAAAAATTCTGTCTTGGTCACTCATGGGAGTTTAAGGGTTGAGTGAGAGGAAAGTGGTCTGGACATCAGACTAAAAAAGACTCACTCAGGCCTTTGAAATTTTACTTGAAAGGTCATTGTATAGTGGAGATATACACACTGTTTTAACTACGTTAAACATGTTAGTAAGATTTTATTAATTTTATCATTAAATTTGTTATAGTTGGAAGAGAATATGTGTCCAACATGAAGACATGGATGCATTTTGGCAAGATCCTGTGGCGTCTCTGGATTTTTATGAGCTTAAAGATCAGCACTTTGCCACAGTAGATACAGTTCATGTGATGAGGGGTGGAGAGCTGTGCATTTCAGGTTCAAGAGATCGTTCTGTGGGGGTCTGGAATTTAAATGCTTTGTCTGTTCCTGATGAGGCAGGATATGGAAAGAAGTCTTTCAAGCAAGCACTTGATGGTCACAAGGTAGTTTTACTCTTGCTTTAAGTCAACAAAAAACCGTTAAAAGCTAATGTTAGGTAGTGCATGCAGCTATTAATCTACTAAAACATGAAAGCTCCTTTAACCCTTTAACTCCCAGATCAAATTTGTCATTCTCCTCACTGTCAACCATACAATTCTCATAATTTTAACTCAGAGAATTTAGTATTGGATCAACTAATTATCCCCAAATTGATATTTTCTTTATTCTCATCACATATCTGGTTGATTTTGTATTGATATTGTAAGGAGAAATTCTGTCTTGGTCACTTGTAGGAGTTAAAGGGTTAAGAATTGGAATCAGTAGTTCGAGGAGAGACACACTAAAGCTGATGACTGTTGAAGATAATAACGCTGATGAAAGATAATGACTAAAATAAGAACACATGAAAGACAAATGCTGTTAGGACACTGAGTATAAGCATAACTGACTGTTCAGCCTACAAGGGCACTTACCACAAGAAAAATAGACATAAACTAAGGTAATCTGTGTAACAGAACTCAGTTGGGTAGTGTGTGATGGACTTACTCAGGCATAATGGGTTTCTGGGCTTGACTGAAGATGTAGAGAAGACACTATTATAAATTAAGAGTCTCTTTCCTGAGATCACTGCAAAATGATTCTGATCATTGCTTGAACCAGAACAAGTCAGGATTTAAAGTCCAAGGCCCATTTGTTCAAAGGGCTGATAATGCTATCCAAGGCATAAATCACTATCCAGTGGATAGGTGTTGACAAAACATACTGTGCTTTCCACCAGATGGAGATTAATGCGGTGGATAGCATTATCCACCCTTTGACAACCAGGGCCAGAGCACTAACCATGGAAATGAAAAGCTACCTAATATTTACTAGGTTATATTCCCAAGGTAGTTACTGACAGCAGTTATCTCTGTTTTCAGGGTTGGGTGTGGTGCCTCTCTAGTGACCCCACAGGAGCTCCTAGGGTGTGTTCAGGATCATGGGATAGCAAAATAAAGTTGTGGGATCTTCAGGGACGAAATGTTGAGATGACAACCATAAGGTGCTGTAGAGTAAATTAAGTTCAAATTTTTAGTAATAAATGTACATTCAATTATTTTTATGATAATTACACAAGGAACATTTGAAATATGCCTTTCATTGTGTCACATGATTTTCTGTATGACTGGCCGGGCAGGCTGATATTCATAAAGAAAAGTGTACAGTTATTTTAGTAACAATTGCTTGCATTTGAAATGTAATTTTCATTATGTACCCTAACTTATATTGAAAACATGGTTTGTTTTTCCTGTTTGAAGTGAATGCAGTCTATCTTTCTGTCTGATGTTCTTGTGTTCTTTGCTGTTTGCTCATAGCACTCATAAGGCAGCTGTACTTTGTATGTCATGGGAACAAGAGATGCTTATATCTGGTTCTTATGATAAGAGTATTTCATTGTGGGACCTGAGAGGTGAGATAATCTAACTTCTTTAATCATAACTGTAATGAAATTCTCAAAGGTGATTGGTTATCAAGAGCATGATTTGAGCATGAATAGGACAGTGCATGCATCATGCTTGTAATTAGACAATGTAATAGGACAGTTGACATGTCATACCTGTGTATATGGACAGTATTTGCCACATGTGCATGCTGTTGTTGTGCATTTTGCTGAGTTAATTGTTTTTTTTTCTAATGAAAATGTATAACAGATGTCTAATTTCTTTCTCAAATTTTGTCACAGTTTGGTAAGAGGACTTTGTTTTGTCCAATTCTGTCTATAATCGTACTCGTGATTAACAAATCATGTTTTCATTAATCACCTGTATGATCACAAGCAGAATTGGACTCCACAGAGTCCTATTACCATTATTAATCATGCATAAATATTACGATTTCCTCAGATGTGATTGGTGCACAAGCTGCATTACTTTTCAGTAATTATCCTGTAGAGGTGTAATTGGACAGTTGGCTATAATCAGACATGTGTAATCAGACAGTTTAAGCAGCCAATCATACTTAGTCCACTAGGTCAGCTAAATCCACCAACCACATATTAATTGATTTCAAAACCAATTTAGCAACAACCACTTACCCTACAAAATTGGGAAAAAGTCAATGTGTCTCTATCCAAGATATTTTCTCAAATAAATGTTTTTTTTCTTCTGAAATTGTAATGGTTATCATTAATTGGTAACAGGACTTCTTGTCATTAAATTCAGTCGTGTAGTCATATTTGTGGTTGAAAAATCAGACTCTTGCTTTGTGGCCATCCAATTTTGTAATCATTCTTATAATTACAGGCTGAATTGGACTCCACCTGGTCTTATTACCACTATGAAGTCATTACAATGTAGATCATTGAGTGATTACAGGCCAAATTTTATTCTACTCTGTCCTCTTACCATGGATAAGAGATTATCGACTGATCAATCCAATTTTTGAAGGGTTTCACATATATTTTTTTAGACAAGTAAAATATGTACTTTGGATAATGCTGAGAAAACAAATTTTCAAAACTTTTGAAATTTTTGAAGGGTTTCACATAAATTATATTTTTTTAGACAAGTAAAATATGTACTTTGGATAATGCTGAGAAAACAAATTTTCAAAACTTTTGAAGTGAATTTATCATGATTTTTGTTGTTGTTGTTGTTGTTTTTCTTTAGCTGGCAATATCATAAGCAGATTAAAGAACCACAGCAGGCCAGTGTTGTGTCTGTCTGTGGATGACAAGTTTATTATAAGTGGAAGTGAGGACAAAACCCTTTGTGTGTATGATAGAAGAGCTGCACAAGTTTATAAAACAGTAAAGGTATAGTCAGTGTCCTTCTTTAATTACTACCTAGATTTATTTTGATTTAACCCTTTCACTCCCACAAGTGACCAAGACAGAATTTCTCCTTACAATATCAATACAATATCAAGCAGGCAGGTGATGAGAATAGAGATGAATATCAATCATGGGATTATTAGTTGATCCAATACCAAATTCTCTGAACTAACATCATAAGAATTGTATGGAAGATAGTAAGGAGAACTACTAATTAGATCTTGGGAGTGAAAGGGTTAAAGTGATATTCTTTGCCTTGTAAACATCAGTGCAAGTTGAAAGTTGATATTTAATATGTGTGAGTGTTCTTTCTTTTTTAACCTTAAATGTTTTGTTCCTAAATTACGCCATGTACCTAAATACCTTACCATTGTAAAATATGAGGAGCTTGTAGCTTGTATAACCCTCGTGGTTTCTCTAAAGGTAACCTTGCCACATGTTAAATTTTCCATTATATTGTATTAAATTTGTATTATTTTTACCGATGTGTTATATTTCAAAAATGGCAGAATAGAAAAAAAAAGAAAAAAGAAAAAAAAAAGGAAGAAACCATAAGATATTAGTTTGTTAAGGTAGAAAAAGATCCAAGAAGGAAACAGAAAATAACCAAGAAGGAGAGAGGATGGCCCAGGCAAAAAAAGATCAAACTGGATATCAAATAACTGAGGCTCAGTTTTTTTTAATAAGATTTAGAAACAGTGATACAGTTCCATTAACTGAATTTGTCAGTTAGTGAATTGAATGAAGTGGTTAGAATGTTCAGATACAGAAAATGAAAAAGATTTTTGTATTTTTGATAACTACCATAACATCAAGTTACCCATTGATTATCTAGACTGCATAATCAGGGAGTTTCTCCATAAACCCCTGCCAATGATGTGAAATACTTCGGCAGCTTTGCAAACACAAGTACAAATAAGAAAGCATGCTCTTAGGCTAAACAGGCAGCTGTAAAAGGTTTTAAAGATGCTGGTAGACTGCAGGTAATAAGCTTTAGTTGAGATGACTGCATCTTCCAGCTCTGAATGTTATTCAAATTAAACTCAATTTCATACAAATAGTTGAGCATCAGGTCTCGCTTTGAAAAAGAGGCCAAAGGTAATTTGAAAGGGGCCTATTTGGACTTGTATGCAAGTATGCAAGATAGCATCATGACTATTTGCTCCCCTATGACAAGTGTTTTGTGCTTAAATACATTTTCTAAAGTCATGTTGCTGTTTGTAGCTTGAGAGTCCAGTCTTCAGCTTGTGCCATAGTTCCAGTTGTGGCTATAACTACCTCAGGGTTGGAGGAAGGGAAGGTCGCCTGCACCTGTTGGACACAACAGCTGATAGATTTGAAGAGATAACAGTAAGTTGTGGTGTGGGAATTGAGACAGAAAGATCCTTCAAATTCTTGAAAAATTCTGATATGCACTTTGGCATTGTTTAAAATCTCTGACTTAAGACAGTGCATAGATTCAGTGTGTCTTATTACAAATGCAACTTGTTTTGAAATGTTTAGTGAATTAGTTGTTCCTTTTTTCCAAGCCTAGCATTGAACTTGATTCCAAAGGGAAAATCTCTGCTATGTGTCACTATGGAGGTGCAGTTGTAGCCTGCTCAACAGACAAATCTATTAAGGTAAGAAGTAACAAGGACATAGGCAGGATTTCTCTCAAGAGAGGGGGGGGGAGAGAGTAGGGACATGCAAGGTTGCTTTATTGTAAGAATTATTATGAATTATCCCTTTGTTCTTGACCAAGGGAGGAGGTCATATGCACCTTAACCTCTTCCCCCCCCTCCTCGCTCAAGGGTTGCAAAGGAGCAATGGATATATCTCTCCCTTTCAACAGTCCTTGGTTTTGAATAATTATTAATTATGATTATTATCCTCCGTTTGCAGGTGTTGGAACCCTCTCGTGTCTTGTCTGTGATTCATTCATTTGACTGTCATTCTGGACAAGTTGCATCAGTGAGTGTAAACAGTTGTAGTAAAAATTTAACTAAGGATTGATAGCACACAGTTCTAACATCTCTTATCACACAGAGAGAGATGGCTTATTAGAGAGGGGTCATTTTAGAGAGGGAGGGCTCATTATTGTGGGAGGCTTATTTCTGAGGGGTACTTTTGGGGGAGAGGACTTTTTAGAGTGGGGAACTCTTTATCCCTTTAACTCCCAAGATCTGATTGTAAATTCTCTACTCTAACTGATACATATTTCTTTGTAAATTGGTTTAAAAGAATTTGGTATAAGATCAAGATGACAGCTTCTATCTGATAAACTTTAGAAGTTTGAGTATTCTCATCACCAGTTTGCTGCATAATGTATGGATATTATAGGGAGAAGTTACATGTTAATCACTTCAAGGAGTTGAAGGGTTAAAGGAGAGGGAAGGGCTCATGACGCCCTTTCATTTTCAGGAGTAAATGGGCCTTATAAGGATGCTGTGTTCTGGTTTAACACCAGATTCTCAAAGTACATTCACACAGGTATACTACAATTATTAGGGAGATTAAAGGTCTTATGTAAGGGACATCATGACTCAAACCCTATTTGCTATGTCTTTCACCTGACCAGGTTAGCAGCAGAGGACCTGTCTTAGCATCTTGTTTCAGTGAACTCAGTATAGGAATATGGAGGCCAAAGAATCTAAGACCAGCTCCAAGAATATGATGTTGGATTCTGGTGAACTTAGACATGAAACACATTCATAATGATGGACATTTGTTTTAACTGTACCTTGTCATACCTTGCATTCGTCTGTAAATATATTCTTATCTTCTCATCTTCTTGAGAAGGCTATTGCTTAGAAAGTTTTGCAAAGCTTCTGTTGTATCATTTTCTTTTCTACGTTATTTCATTTTTATTTCACCCTTTCACTCCCAAGATCTCATGAGTAATTCTCCTTACTGTTTGCCATTTAAATTTTTATGATGTTAGTTTGGAGAAATTGTTATTTGATCAACTGATTAACCCCTTATGTGAAACTTATCTTTATTCGCATCATTTGTCTGCTTGAGATTGTTTAGATATTGTAAGGAGAAATTCTGTCATGGCCACTCGTGGGATTTAAAGGGTTAATGTTTTTCCAGAAAGTTTTTCAATGATTATTTTGAAGATAGACTTTGGAGCAAAAAAAAACAGTACTTATTTCCTCCATTTCTCTTTGACATGAAGAAGGAAATCAGTCATGAATTTTTATAAGAAGATTTATATTTAACCTTTTTGTTATTGCCAGAACACACACAATCGTGTTGAAAGAACAAATAAAGGCAAAGACCTTTTGTCTGTGTCAGATTTAGTTAGTTTATGTCCAATATGACACGTCTTTTAGCGCAATATTCTTAGTCACGTAAGTCAATAGAAATCGGTAACAAAAACCAGCTCTGTGTGAGCTCTGGGAGGTTAAGGGCGCGAGAAGAGTGACACCTCGCTTTAGAGTTCGCGCGCGCGTGGTAATGAGAGTTCACGCGCGCTTAGTCATGAGCGTTTGTTTTTTTCACTTTTCTTTTCTCGTCTTTTAGCCGAGGAATTACTGGTAATCCGGAACTGTTCGTTTTCTAGTCAGCGAATAAGGCCATGATGATCCACGCACGACAGCGTAACTTTACTTTTGTGTGCCTTTTTCTGATGGGTAGTGACTAGCCTGCTTCTGAAATTCGGCTGGTGAGGAAGAGCGAAAGAGCGGATAAGTGAAAATGGCGGTTGTCAGAGAAACGACCGTTTTATGCGAACCACTATGTTACTTTATTTCCATCGACCAATTGCTAGGAAATGGTGCATGGTGAACGAAGCTGAAGGAGGGTTAAATAGAGGTTGCGGAGAGTCTACAGAAAATTTAAGTTCACCAGACACGGGCTTATATTGACTCATAACTTTCCAGCGTAACACAGTAACTATAGTGCTTAGACATCGAAAACAGGGGATCCCAGCCAATTACAACTCTTGACAACTAATCAATCAAAGCGAGGCATCATGCCTCGTAAGGTGATGCCCAACCCTTAATCAATGGACTTCCTCGCCCAGTCGAAAGATCTTGACCTCCAGACCACTTCATCACGAGACAAACGGTGACACTATACCCTGATGAATAATAATCGTTATATAATCTTTATTCCTCCTATGATAACAGACAAATCTTGAACAACATCCACAATCGTTAAAAAAAAATGTTATTCTGAAAATACGGATGAAATATGCCATGGTATAAAGACTTATGATTACATTTAAATAGAAGCCTATTTACAAACACATTCTTAATAAATTTATCAGAATTTATTTCCGGGCGCTGGAAAGTTCTGTTTCTAAGATGATACTTTGTTTATTTTTTCTTCGGATGTAACTAAGTAGCCAATCAGAAACGACTGAGCGTGCCTTGAAAGGTCTCGAATGTCCATTCTCTTTGATGTGCCTTTTCTTTTAAAGCACCTGTCTCGAAAATTTTGTATGAAAGTGAGATCTAAGTCTTCGGCGCAATAAGCGGACAGACCATAACTGAAATTCGGCAAAACGAGGGCGCTAAATAGGCGGTCTACTTTACCTTGCCTTAAACCTCCTTCCTTAAAATCTTAGAACAAACAGACACTTATTCGTCTTAATGACCACAACTCTTTTGAAGGATTGATCTCAGCTAGTAATTAGCGAAAGAAAATAGAAATGGAAAGACTTGGAAAAGAAATGCAGACAAATATAATAATTTTTTAATGATAATACCTTTCACCCAGATACATCTATTCGCGCGTTGATAGTTGGAAAAAAGGCAAAAAGACCAGAAACATCAAAAGTCTTATCAACGCAGATCAAATTTTAATTGCATTGGATTTATACGCGTTTAAGGTGTTCGACGCAATTGTTATCATTCAGCCAATGCGCATTCCTCTACTATCCGACAAGTGACATCAGATTCTATTTCTGTAAAACCTGGGGACGAGACTTTTATAACCAATAAGCAGTTGCGTTACTTCCAGCATCTCGAGTTACGTTCTGAGAATAAGCTTCTTGGACAGTCTTGTGATATTGCGAGATACTTCTAGTCTCAACAGCAAGAGATCTCTTATTCCTACAGAGGTAAGAAATATACTTTGCAGTCGATAAATAGCAATATCTTCATGGTATAGCTTGACTACCTATGATTTTTGAAGCACTTTTGTTTGCATAGGATTATAAATGTGTCTGAAATAGATTAGGTTGCCAAGAACGTTTTCAACAAGCTTAAATCTGTGCTTTTGTTCGGAATGCGATGTAACAGAAATAGCTAGAGAATCTGACTGCTTTACAACAAGCATTGATTGTAGAAGAATACAAGTAAACTGAAGCTTAGCTATCTTCTTGTAGTAAAGATATTTTAATGGCAGGACATCGACACTCGACGTGACACCTTCGATTCGTTACTGGTCGGAAGAATTCTTATCGCCAAAAAAGGTTTTGACTTCGATGACACGAAACAGCAAAATAACGCCTCCATTAACTGAATATAGAAACATCTATCGGCCTGTTAGTCGACTGAAGCGAAATCAACTATTTTTTGCTTTTAAAACAAGGAGATCGTGAAATAAACAATTCAGTGCGGAGGCATCGCGGAAACTCTGAGTAAAATTCCTTACTTTACTCCATACAGAAAAGAATATCTTTGTAAGGTCAATGCCATCGCAAAAACCGCTTTACATTTTATTTTAAACTATACAATAGAGCTCCATTAGTCGATGGTTTAAGCGGAACTAGTTCAAAAATGAGATCGCATTCATTTTGACAGGAAAATACAGCATGTTTAAGCTTATCGTCAGCTCCGACGCTGATTCAAAGTTGTTTGTGTTTTATTTATGTAAATTAGCGTTAATATATCGCTTCACTTGAAAACCTCCATGATATGTTGCTAAATGGTTCGCCCAATCACGGTATAATATTACTAGAAAGTATACATTTAGCATAAAAATCTCACACATATTTAAAAGTGACAACTTGTGATGGTCTGAAGGTCAAACTGTCCTAGTTCACATGACAAAGTGTATTGGATTAAATAGATTAAACAAGAAAGGCAAGGAAAGCATTGGGACAATTGAGAAATGCTAAATATTAGAAACCGTTATTATGTGAAGAAAAGTTGTGGACCTAGTTTCACCTCTAGAAGAGATCACCACTTATTGATTAATTTCCCATACCATATTGATACAAAGTTAAAGCAGAGATGTGATGAGGAAATGATGAATTAATTAATACAGTTTGATTTGACAATCCTAGAGTTTCAGTCATAAGAGATGTATGGCAGAAATTACAGATAATTTTTTTTTAGATCTTGGGAACGAAAAGATTAACACATTGACATTGAAAAATGTCAGAAAAACGTGAAGTCAACTTCAAAATCTAATACTGCCCAATGGCTTGTGCATCTTTGGAACTTGAGCCCAGTTGTTCAACAGGATGATGATGCTATCTTATTACTAAATTGCCATCTAGGGGATAAGTGTCAGCAAAACATACAGCACTATCCACCTGATAGAGATTTTTCTCACAGACAACATTATCCACCATTTGAAAAACTGGGGCTTGCTTGGAGTTCTTGGTTTATTTCAGGCCCATTATGTTTTTACTGTAGCACTAAAGTTACAATTTTTTTTTCTGTTCTTCTTGAGGTTGAAAGCACCTCTGTAAGTTGCAAGAAATGACTAAAAAAAATAAGTAATTGCAATTTGTTTCCTAAGAGTTGTGGGTTTATGATAATGTATGTTAAAACTACCTCATCAGATCAGTCAACTAGCTCTGTGAAAATAATATTTGTATTGTTTATTGTTATTTTAGGATTACAGCACCATTTATCAGCATTAAAGAATGAACAGGGCTGTGATAAGTTCTGTGGGCCTCCTTATCCTTCAGTTTATATCGCTCACTGCAGGTACTGATTCTATTAATTAATAAGTTAATAGTATTCATAAGTGTAACCTGTTTAATTGAGATAAATGCAAAAATCCATATCTTTTTCACCTTTATACAAGATGGCATACTTGAACATTAAGGAATGTTGCTTAAGGTTAGAAAAATGAGAATTTTGAAAGTCCTGGTCTATAATGATAAACTTTAAGTAGGATAATGAAGAAAGAACAAGGAATTATTTATTTTTAGAAAAGTTGCAATTCTATTTTAAACTCCTTGCTAACCCTTTAACTCTCAAGATCTGTATGTTCATTCTCCCCTCCAGCTGCTACACATTTCTCAGTTAATTAGTAATAAGAATTTGGTGTTAGATAAAGATAACAACTTCTATCTGATAAGTTTGAGTATTCTCATTGACCTATTTGTTAGATAGTGTATGGATATATTGGGGAGAAGTTATGTGTTAATCACTTCTGGGAGTTAAAGGGTTAAGTCATTCTCAAGAAAGTAGAGACTGTAAGTACTATCAAGCATTTTTTTGTAGAGACACTGATTTTGAGGATACCAACCTTTGTGTTACCCTAAAAAAAAACAAAAAAAAAAACCACCTTATCACAAGTTAATTTACTGTTCAGTACAAATCAATTGCATAACTCAAGTTTGGAAGAAGTTCTCAACATCTGACTGATGTTTCTTCTGTTTACATCAACCAGCTACACCATGTGACTTAAGATGCACAGCAAAACTAGGACAGGGAACTTGTCAAAGCAATGGACGCTGCCTTTGTTGGTGGGGATGGACTGGACCTAATGCAAAATACATATTATCTGGATTCCACCAAAATCGAATATTGGTAAGGAATGTAAAATGAAATGACAGCATTACATGACCTGTTACTTTCGAAGGAAGATTCTTCTAGTGGAGCATGAATCACAATTTCCCAATTAACTCAGGGCAAATGACATATTTTGATTTCAGGCTGACTATTGTACCAGGTCATGTCACTACACTCACCACTATAGGAATATAGCTTGTGCAAAGATCCCCTCCCCCCCTCGGCCCAAACAAACTTCCACGGCAAATCCATCAACACCATTAACTACAGGGAACCCAAGCACAGGGAAACCAAGTACAGGAAGCACAACCAAAGGTAAGGGTCTTGTCTGGCAATCTAAAGCTACACAAATAATTGGCCAGATGTCTGATATGAAAAAATTAATATGTGGTAAAACACTGTAGATAGCCATGTTGAGGAATAACAGTCAACAGTGAATCACTATACTTCTTGTACAAATGAATACGTGGTTCACCAGTGTCTTATCTTTGTGTTATCTTAGCTCCACCTTCTGTGTCATGTGACCCCAAATGCACAGCCATACCAGGACAAGGAACTTGTCAAAGTGATGGAAAATGTCTTTGTTGGTGGGGATGGACTGGGCCAAATGCAAAATACATATTATCTGGACTGCGCCAAAATCAAATACTGGTATGGAATATGAAATGAAATGGCAGCACTATATGATCTGTTACTTTGGAAGGAAGATTCTTCTAGTGGAGCTTAAATGATATTTTTCCCAATTAACTCAGGGCAAATGATATATTTTGATTTCAGGCTGACTATTGTACAAGGCCATGTCATTACACTCACCACTATAGGAATATAGCATGTGCAAAGATCCCCTCCCCCCCTCGGCCCAAACAAACTTCTACAGCAAATCCATCAATGCCTCCGACTACAGGAAACCCAAGCACAGGGAAACCAAGTACAGGAAGGACAACCAAAGGTAAGGGTCTTATGTCTTGACAATCTAAAGCTACATGAATAATTGGCCAGATGTATGATATAAAAAAATAATGTGGTAAAACACTGTAGATAGCTATGTTGAGGAATTAATACTCATCAGTGAATCACTCTACTTCATGTACAAATGAATACATGGTTCACCAGTGTCCTATCTTTGTGTTATCTCAGCTCCACCTTCTGCATCATGTGACCCCAAATGCACAGCCACACCAGGACAAGGAACTTGTCAAAGTGATGGAAAATGTCTTTGTTGGTGGGGATGGACTGGGCCTAATGCGCAATACATCTTATCAGGAACTCTTAAAAACAGAATTATGGTACTCATGAATAAGTAATTTTGATGTGATTTTAGTTGTCATGATATGCAAAGAGCAGAGTTTTTTAACTTTTGTCTCGACACATATTACTTAATTCTCCTTGTAATTCATTATCTTACATCATACAAACAGATTATGAGAAGACACAAGCTTATTGCTTAAAGAGTGTTATATTTATCTTAGGCCAAATTCTCCAGCCTCATTTTCAAAGAAATGTATGGTAGTCCACTAGGAGAATGGCTAAATAGATCTTGGGAGTTAGGTATTCAAGAGGTGTGCCACAAAATTGTGCATCATGGAACACTCTGCCTAAATTCAGCTGTTGTCTTGTAATGATGGGTGTTGTCCATTGATTTAATAACTGCGCTTATTTTGATAACTCAAGCTTCAGTAAGAATGCTTGAATAAAAAAATGCAAGCTGTTTTCCTTTATTTGTTTTTCATTCCCTTTGCAGCTTTGCAACCCCCTCAGGTGTTCCCCTTACAAAACTGCCAGCTATGCAGACTAGTTATCTTGACCTTGCATGAAAAATTACTTATTCTTTACCTAAATTCCAAAGGAAGCTTGAGTTAACACTTCAATAGTGTTTAGTTCATTAAAAACTGAAACTCTTTTGTTACATGCTTTGTGTTGTTAGGTTGGAGGATAGACTCGACACCTCCAAATTCTAATTGATGAGTTAAAATGATAAAAAGATATCAGTAAAATTGTGTCCTTTCTTTTCAGGCCGATTATTGTACAGAAGCTTGTCATTACACTCATGACTATTTAAATGCATCATGTGCCACGATCCCTACCCCTAAGGTGTGCAGTTTACCTGGTAACACAACTGACCCACCCATCCCTTGTGATCCCCTGTGTGGCACAGGGACATACCACAGTGCTGGGAGGTGTCTTTCAAATGGCCGTTGTCTGTGCTGGTGGGGTTGGACAGGTTCAAATGCCTGCTACATTGATGGAGGTCCTTATAACAACAGGATCATAGTAAGTGATGTGCATCTGACTTGTGAACAAAGGCAGCATGTTTACATCCCCTTGTAAGAGTCAGAGGGTTATGTTCACCTGCCAGGGCCCAAAATGAATTTATCTGTTACATACTAAGATTTTTTACAAACCGAAAGCTGGGTTCAACTGCCAATTTCACAAGGTGGCCAAGAAGACAACTTGGAACTCAACTCCCCTTCTTTTGTTGTCAGAGGCTCTTTAGTAAACAGGCGCTGATTGTAGTACTTGCATACTCGCAAACTAAGATCAATGGACACCTTGCTTTATTGTTTTTCTCCCTTGTTTAAGAATGGGTTTCCCTTCCATTACCCTTTCCTTCTACAGTATCCAGTCTTCTCTATCTACACTTCTGTTCATTTACCTCTTGTCTGATTTGGGCCTGCCCTCATGGTGTTCAGCAGTTTATCTACAAGAGAGCCTCCACTAAGGAAAGAGATTCAACACTAGCATACCTAGACAAATGGTATGTATCTTTATGAACTTTTTTTACTGTCATAGGCTGACAGATGTACCAAAGCTTGTCACTACACTCATGACCATAGAAATATCAATTGTACCAAGTACAATTCAACAAACCCCTCAGTACAACCTCCAGTTACAAGAAAACCAAGCACAGGGGGAAGAACAACTGGAGTACCAACCACAACAACTTATCCTCAATCATCAACAGAAAAACTGACAACTGCAACATCACCAGCAGCATCATCAAAAACCCAGTCAACTACACCAAAAGACACCACCACAAATCCCACAACAGCCCATATTACAACAAAAGCCCCAACTACCAAACAAAAGACCACAACAGCAAAAGCAACCACCACTCAAAAAGCAGTGACCACTGCAGCAGAGACAACAACAACAGTGGCACCAACTTCGAAGCAAGTAACCACAACTCTTCCCTCCACCACAGCTAAGGACACTACCACTCAAGCTGCTGTGTCTACCACAGCAAAGACAACAACTCCTGCACCAACTACCAAACAGAAGACTACAACACAAAGGGCAAAAACCACTTCAGCAAAACAAACTACTACCCAAGCGACAACAACAACAGCAAGCACCACCATGCAAACAACAAAACAGAAGACCACAACTACTGCATCAACTACAGCAGCAACAACCACACAAGTTCCTACAACAACTGAAGAACCAACAGAGCCAACTGAACCTACAGAACCAACAGAACCTACAGAACCAGGTGTATTACAGGTCAGAGGATGGGCTCTACAGGACCTTCAAAGTCAGGTAGGCCTGATTAAGTCCATTTCACATTCCTTTGAAGCAACTTTAAACTGAGTGTTGAAAGTAATCTGGAATTTTACTTGTTTTGCTTCAATTTACTTCCCTCTCCAATAATTAAGGCCTGCTTGTTAGCTCCTGGTTTAGTTTCCAGTATGCTAATCAGGCTAATCAGGTTTGGGAATCTCCACTGATCAGCATGGTTTTTTTTTTGTTAACCCCTTAACTCCTACAAGTGATTGATATGAAACTTCTCCCTATTATATTCATACATTGTCCAGCAAACAGGCGATGAGAATACCCAAACTTATCAGTTAGAAGTTGTCGTCTTGATCTAACCCCAAATTCTCATAACTAATTTACAAAAAAATGTATTGAAGCTAGAGAGGAGAATTGACAATCCTATCCTGGGAGTTACAGGGTTAAGTAACATAAGAGCACATGAGAATAATTTCCAAAGAGATTCCAAGTTGCCGTGTGTCTGTTCAGTAATAGATCACAGATGACGTCAAAATGTGGTAAGAACAAAAAAGTGGCACACAAGGCACAGCTGAGTGTGTCACTGATGTTCTTACTACATTTTGACGTCCTCTGTGATCTTTTACTGAACAGATGCATAGCAACTTGGAATCTATTTGTTTTATATAATAAAGAATTTTAAAAAAGTTTTAATGATGACGTCATCTATACGTCTGTCCTCCAATAGATCATAAGTGAGAAGCAATCAGAATGCGTGCATAACTGAGCTTATTATATAAATCTGAAGAGAAAATAGTTTGGGGCATTTAAAGTTAGCAGGAGATTTCTATGAAGTAACAGGAGAACTCTCTAGTTTCCAATGCCACATTAACAGCCCGGATTAGGTGTTAGGTAGTTCAAGATATTTCTTTTACTTAACAACGGCATGTTCATGTTGTCAGTTTTTCTTAAATTCTGTTACAGAATGATAATGCTGATAATGTTGATGTCATTGGAGAGGCTGATGCTGTGAAAGACAAAGATGAAGGTGATGGCAAGAAATCCAGTCGTGCTGGGATGGTTGGTGCTGTGATGGTGCTACTTCTCTCTTTAGTGGTCTTTGGTGCAGCTGTGTGGTGGTCTTTTGGCCGAGGTGGTCAGTGTCCGGGCATTCTGAAAGGTTATGAACAACTGGCAGACCATGATAAAGCCTATCTGATGAACGAGTTTTCAACTTCAACGGAGATTCCATGACCATCATTATCATTAATGTAGAGGGTCTTTTCTGGGACTATGTCAGAGAGCGGATGATTATGTTAGAATAGGACCTGTCCAGTGTTCTGATGAGAACTTCATTACCACACCTTTGATTAAGATATTAATGTGGTGCAACATTTTTGCATGTTATCAGTGGATCACTGTTTTGTACAGAGGTGACTGTTATCCTTACCTTTGGCAATTTAAGCTACTTACATTTTTACATATTAATCCTTTACATCCTAATATCATTATGCATATTCTCCATACTGTTCTCAGTAAGGAGCTGATAAGGAGAATTTGTTTAACAACCAAAAGCATCTTAAGCTGGTGATCATTGTCCTTATTCTCATGACCTTAATGTGTGATTCAGAGGTGATATTGTAAGGAGAAATTAGATGCTAGTAACTTTTAGGGGAAAGGATTAATTGTAAAATTGTCTGCTTGCAGTTGATATATAGTTAGGTGAAAGACAGGTATATAGTTTGCAATTCACATTTACTACACAGCATCAGTGACCTATACTTGGCTCTGTCATCACCCACAAGCTACAGCTTGGAAAAAAATATAAATGGCAGTAACAGCTTGTATTACTCAGACACTCCACAGAAAACCCAAGCCTAAACTTAGGGGTTGACACAGGTACAAATCACCAAAAAGACTCTAGAGCACATGCCTTAGTGCAAGTTTAAATTTTAATTTTTGCAAGCAATAGAATTAAGAGAGAGAGAGAACCTTAAAAAGTAATTAAAATTGTTGTGGTCCAAAAGCTGCTGTGAGTCAGGGAGTACTTGATAGATGTAGCATTTTTTTAGTCCCAACTTGAAGAGTCTATTACATATTACCTATGTAACTATGAAGCATTTTTGAAAAAAATTTTCCAACAAATGATTAAAGGCTATTTGTAATTGCTTTGTGTTTTACTTCCTATATCTTTTAATTTATCCCTAATTGTGGCCTAAGTCAGAAAGATCTTAACAAAGAGTTCATCCTCTTGGTTAACCCTTTAACTCCCAAGATCTAATAGTCAATTCTCCCATCCACCTATTATGTATTTCCATTTAAATTAGTTACAAGAATTTGATGTTGGATCAAGACAACAACTTCTACTTGATAAGTTTGAGTATTCTCATTACCTGTTTGCTGGATAATGTATGGATGTTACTGGGAGAAGTTAGATGTTAATCACTTCTGGGAGTTGAAGGGTTTATGTAACACACAAAATAATAAACAATAATATACCACAATCTTGGACAAAATGCATAGGACACTTGAGCAAGAAAGGTTCAAAATCAATAAATTATAATGACATAGAGATCTCCACCCTCCCCTTCCCCTTTAATTTGACAGAGCAGTTACCATTAGTAATACACTTATCTTTTTCTTTACTTTTTCTTACTTTGGTTTTCTAAGATTTAAGTACATGTAAGTCCTTTGATGACCTGCTATTCAGGACACTAACTTACAGTGTTCTTCCGAGACTTCTTTTGTAGCCAGCCATAAATTAGGCAACTTAACCCTTTAACTCCCATGATTGACCAAGACAGAATTTCTCCTTACAATATCAATACAATATCAACCAGATAAGTGATGAGAATAAAGAAAAATATCAATTTGGGGATAATGAGTTGATCCAATACTAAATTCTCCGAATTAACACTATAAGAATTGTATGGTTGACAGTAAGGATTGATCTGGTAGTTAAAGAGTTAAGTTGCTTAATTTATGGCTTGCTACAAAAGAAGTCTTGGAAGAACACTGTAGATAGAGATGAATACCCACTCTATTTCAGCAACATCTACCTACATAAACCTTTTCCTTCCTAGTAGCAGCCAAGAGGTTAATTCTCAATACAATGCCAAGCCACTGTCAACCAGGCAGGCAATGAGAATCTAGTAAAATATCAACCAAGGGATATTTGATTAAACACAAAATTCTCATTGCTAAAATTGTAAGAAATGCTAGGCAGACAGTAAGGAGAAGTACTGTCAAGATCTTGAAAGTGAAAAGGCCTAAGATTTGAGAAAACCCTGTTGTTGATGCATCAAAACAATCCTCAAGTTTATGGTAACAGTTGGCTAAATTATGACTTCCTTGGTATATTCATTGCTTTATTCAATGCAGCGCAGTTTGTTTGCACCCTCTGTAAGGTAATCCTGTTGAGGTCAGCTTCCTCTTGTCCTTTTCTAACTGTTGCTTGATAATCCAGTTGTAACATTTCAGAGTCTAATGGAATGGCATTGACACCTGATGACAGAAGCTTCTCATGTAAGGTGTCGGTGAGCTTTGACAAGCCATCTAAATCCGCTGGTTCATGATTGATTGAAAAAGCAAGAACTTCATTATTAACATTTGGTCCTTTAAGAGTGACTAGAATCTAATTTCTCCTTACCATATCATCCCTGAATTAGCCATGAAGGTCATGAGAAAAAAGGAAATGATCATTAACCAAAGAAGCTCCTGATTGTTAAACAAACTCTCCTTGTCACTACCATAGGAAAAGTATGGAGAAAAGTATGGAGAATATGCATACTGATGTTGGGGTGTAAAGAGTTAAAACAGATCAGTTATCTTCCCTACAAAGCATGTCCCCCATGCTGATCTCCATACATTCCTTATGGTGCTGACCAGGAGAATTTGTCTAAAAAAATTCAGTGCTTCTTTCTTTCTTTGACAATCCTTTACTTTATTCTTGTGACCCTACAGTTAGATGTAGTGGGAATACTGTAAAGAGAAATTAGATGCTAGTCAATCTAAAAGGCAAACAGGTAAAGTGAATTCCGATCAATATCAGTATCTGGGCAACTGCCCACCTACCCCTCCCCTAACTCAACAACAGTCAATTGATAACAAGTGAGGGTTAATGTTGGGTTAGGGGAGGGGTAGGTGGGCAGTTGCCCAGATACTGATATTGATCCATGAATTCTATCTTGATTTCACAAATGATTGCAATACCATGAAGGTCAATTAACTACAAGGGTGGAGAGGTCAGTTACTTAAATACAAAAAGGGTAGGGTTGTAAACAAATCATATGTACAACTGTAGAGTTTCATGTAAATTCAAAATGACTTCACTGACTATTTCTGCCTATTTCTTCACAAATACTTTTAACTCACTTTTTGCATCTTCTATAGAATATGACATACCAGACCTCACTTGCCTGAAAATGAACATAATGCATTTGTAAACATTAAAATTTTTTAACAAATACGAGGTATGAAACTGAGAGCTGATCTATTTTATAATTAGATCATGAGCTTGCAATTCCTATCACATGATAGTGGAAGAGGCAAAAATTGAGAGCAAATAATCTAATTGTTTTACAATAAATTTACCACTCATTTGAACAAGAAAGCTAGCCTATGTTTTAATCATACTTTGTTCACAATCACAAACCCCAAGGCTAGTAAATATCTATCACAGATTATATTATAAGCTGAACTATACATGCTTTTCTGATTAGTTCTTTCTTATTATCTACTTGAGGACAGATGCATGGATGGCATCACCAGTAAGAACACTCTGCTTTTTTTACCATGTAAAACCAATGGATCCCATATTACTGAGGGTCTGTTCAGTAACTGATCACAGAGGGTATATATCAAACTGGGAGGCAGCACCTCGTGTGTTACGGTTTTTGTTCTGACCACATTTTGACAACATTTGTGATTTATAACCGAACATTAGCTCACAGGCAACATAAAATATATTTGTTAAATGAATAAAGAGCAGCATAGTCAATCAGATGGCATCATTTGTGAAAGAACGCTACATAGTAGAACTGCAATAAAATTTCCAAATAGATACTAGAGGTGGTGATTAGAGACTACTGTCTCGACAACCTGAACAAAGACAGTTGATCGGTTCTCTATGAGTTACTTACATTCCTGTGAAAAATTTATTTGCTTGTCGATGAACGAGTTCTAAAACAGATTCAAAATCGTTTAGGTTCTTACTACCAGACGTTTGTCCGGCCGCCATATTGACCTCGTGTCTAGTTCTATGCGTTAAACCGCTGCCAATAGTGAGAAAAACAGTGGGAGGGGGAGAGTGTAGTTGATACTTTTAAAACCTCATTCAGTTTTACTTTCGGGTATTTTATCTGCAATATTTTTGGTATAGCAAACAAAAACAAGCACTGTTGTGGTTTTAGATGTTTTTTCAATTTTTTTTTCTCAACTGTATGTATTTTTTAAATTTTATGAAATTTCTTGTCCCTCCCCACCCTAAGGATATGCCACTGCAATCTGTTGTACTACTGTGATATTTCAATGTTGTGTTACTTTTCCTTAACACAAATATGTCGCTCTCCCCTGTAGCCATCAAAGAAGCAAATCATCACATTCAAGGTTTGGTGAGTCGTGTTCACGAGCTGGAAGAACAAGTTAAAGAACTCTCTGCAGCTCTGAAGAAACAAAATGAAGTACATGCCGAGAACTTGAGGGTTCTTCCGCTGCGAATGAATCAAACATTGAGACAAAAAGATGAAGAAATACAAGAGCTAAAACAGAAACTTAAATCTTCGGAGGCTGTCAGAGAAAGGCTCGTTCGAGAGACTAATTCCCGCGAAGCTTCGCTAGAGCACCTGAAGAATCGTTCCCGAGTTTTGGACGAGATCTGCAAGCATCGTGAAGCATTTGAGAGTATTGTGAGTTGTTTGAGTATAATAGAGGATCCTGATAATAGCTCGGGTAAAATATCAGAAAATAGCATCCCCAGAGAAACAGATTTACTGGACAGTTACGAAGAAGACGAAGATATTAATGGAAATGATCGGAACGGGAAAATTTTTGACAGCGGAATTGGATCACGAAATTCCTCGTTTTATTATGAAAATGATGCACACGAGAAAGGGATGCTGCGGGAAGAAAATTCCTCAGGAGGTTCTTTTCAACAAGATGAAGAAAATCCACCTCCTTGTTTTGTATGATGGCCAAACGATATGACTAATTTGAGGTTTTACTAATCAGATTTATTCTTACGACGATTTAATATCGTCTGGTACACTAAATTAACTCGACTCTAGGCATAGTAATTTAATAATTAGTTTAAGAAAATTCGACCAAAGAATGTTATATGTGGTGTGGACCAAAAGTACGTGTCTTTTAGGGAATTTCTTTGTTATTTTTGGTATTTTATTCGATTCACTAAGTCTTGAAAATGCACAAATGGTCAATTTCTCATAATTAACAATGTTATTCACTGGTAGTTTATCAATTTCCAGTGGACAATCCTTTAGGTCTTTCTCACCTTTGTTTTATATAATAAGCTCAGTTATGCACGCGTTTTGATTGGTTCTCACTTATGATCTATTGGAGGACAGACGTATAGATGACGTCATCATTAAAACTTTTTTCTGTATATTTTAATTCTTCATTACACAAAACAAATAGATTCCAAGTTGCCATGCATCTGTTCAGTAATAGATCACAGAGGATGTCAAAATGTGGTAAGAACATCAGTGACACACTCGGCTGCGCCTTGTGTGCCACTTTTTTGTTCTTACCACACTTTGACGTCATCTGTGATCAATTACTGAACAGACACACGGCAACTTGGAATCTATTTGTTAAACAGACAAGGAACATCAAGAAACATCTTCACCTGTAATATATATTTGTATACTAGAAGAAGCATTTTAAAGATATTCTTAACTCCCAGTGCATTCCTTTACAGAAGATGGGTATCATGTTACATGTGTATGTGGAAGAGGCCACAGCCTTAGTGTCAGTGTGCCAAAATATGGGTTGACAGGTCCAGGTTCAAACCTGGTGGGTCATTGGGCTATGTTCTCAGACAAAACACTTAACCTTCACCACACCTCTCTCTGCCTATACACCCCTTACACCATCTCTCAATACACCATCTCTCAAAACACCATCCTTATAACTCCTCCGGGTATAAATGAGTATTAGAGGGTTGCTGATGAAATACGAGGGGATAATCTTGCAATCTAGGGAGGAGTAGTGATTCTCCTAGTCACTCCAGACTATGGAGACCAGCATAAGCTTCAACTGGATTGGCCTTGGCTTGAGTGCAGAATTTACCTTATTATAAGACTGTATATTAATTAACCCTTTAACTCCCAAGATCTGATTATCAATTCTCCCCTCTAGCTGCTACACATTTCCTTGTAAATTAGTTTCAAGAATTGAGTGTTAGATCAAGATAACAACATAGACCTGATTAGTTTGAGTATTCTCATTACTTGTTTGCTGGATAATATATGGCTATTAAAGGAGGAAGTTACATATTAATCAACTCTTGGAGTTAGAGGGTTAAGTGAATTCTTACATGCACCTTACGTAATAACCAGCTTTTTTCAGTGGTCAGTTACCTCTCGTCTTAAGGTGGCTGAAGGAGTGGAACTTAGTCAGTATTAATCAATATATTTTCCTTCTTATTTGTTTGATATATTAAATAATAGTATTTGTAAAATAATTTCCTGGTTCCTTTTTTTTTTCTGTAAAATTGTAAGTATGTTCAATAGTGTATCTTGGGAGAAATAGTTTGTTATGGGGTCTTTGGTATGATACAAGGTCTTAACCCTTTCACTCCCAAGATCTCATTGCTAATTCTCCCTACTGTCTGCTATACAATTCATATCATGTTAGTTTGGAGAATTTGGTATTGGATCAACTACAAATACCATAATTAATATTTTTTATTTATTTTCATCACTTGTCTGCTAGATATTTTATTGACATTGTAAGGAGAACTTTTGTCTTTGTCACTAATGGGAGTAAAAGTGTTAAAAGCACAGTTAAAGATTGAGAACCAGGGTTAATGCAAGAATTAAATTCTTTATTTGTAACTAGGCATGGTGTATTGATAAGAGAGCTTTCTTTCTACCTTAAACCCCCTAATAAAACCCTTGATATAACAACAGACAACTCAGGAGAATATCACTACCTTGGAAAACAATAGATTACAGCTATCAAAACTGGCAGCTGTAGAGAAAAATACTCAGATCTTTATTTTAAAAGATGGTGTTCCATGTAGACAGAATGGAGAATAAGGACTCAAGGTTTCAGAAAATGAGAGATCAATTTTATTTTTCGACTCAATAATTTGCTTCATTTTTCACAGAGATTCCTAAAACCTTTTCACCCCTCTATGAATCTCAGGCATGCTGTCAGTGTGGTTGATTTTGAACAGAATATTCAGTTTTTCTCACTTGGTGAAAAGATCTAGAGTCCAATGCAATCTTTGATTATATAAACTAAAAAGTGCATCACTTTAAAGGTGTTGGAAACAGATACTGATAACTAGGGACTCAGTATAGCTGGCACCTAATCAAGGTTTCTTCACCCCAGTTTTATTACCAAATTGGGCTGACCATAGCCAAATAGGAATTATGCAACTCTGTTCTGGAAATATTGGGTTATTCCTGTCTCTTTCAAAACGTGAAGTTGCAAAACAGATTCACAGCCCCATAATCTAGGATTTTATGTTGAATCCCCCTCCACCCCCCTCCCCCCCCCAAAAAAAAGATCTCCAAAAGTTGTCAACAAAGAGAAGATATACAGAAACTTTCAAACTATAGTTTAAAAGGGCTTCACTTGGAAAGTTACATCTTTGTATTTATCCTTCTGATCCAATAAACCCCGGTTGAGCTGATTTATCTTAGTCTAATGAATAAAAACCGTCTAGTTCCGGCAGCAATAAAGCACGAATCGGAAGCGTCTACACAACATGAATTACTCAGAACTCATCCACCAATAAGTCACTTTCAGTAAAATAGGGCATGGAAGGCTGGACCCTTGAATGTAATACAGTGTTATACCCTCCTATGAAAAACCCATGCTACACCGATGGTCTGTTAGAATAAACTAAATAATAACATCATCACAATGCTATAGACATAAACGAGGATTGATCCCATAATATGCCCTTATAGATTCTGTAGTAGCATAATGTTTGGTATAAATTGGAAAAACGAGCATAATTTTGGCACCTTACATAAATGTGGCCAGGAGCCCATTGCTATTGCACTGCTAGCGTAATCAGCATATCCTTAATCTTTTAAAGGGAACATTACCGGAGTCATGAATTGCTTGGTCTCTGAGCCTTGTCGTTTTCAATTTCGGTCCATTTTTTTCCAATTGCAACGTCTTAGGGGAAGAAGGATACCGTAATGCTGTGCGGACTGGGCACACCGGAAATTAAGAGTGCGTCGGTCCCATTTCTTCCTTTGCTTGTGTTGAAGAAGCGGAAGTCTAGAAAATTTTCTTCGAAAGTTTGAGTAAAGGTATGCACTTAGTCTTGCATACGAGATGAGCCCCCTTCCCCAACTCCCACACACATTTCAAATCGCTCCGCCGCCTCTGTTACTCTGGATTCTGTTTTAGAAAACTGCTTCTGCGACTAGAAATGCTATGGATGCTCAAAATTTCAGACAAAAGTCTTTTCCTTCGCCACAAAGCATGGGGTACTAAGCGTAAATAAATTGTTTTGCCGTTTTTAAGGGGTAGTTATGGACACAGCAGCCGCTCCTGTGGTCGCCTCATGCGTAGGGACTGACAAATATATCGCGATCAAGTTACGCTGTGCAAAGAGGTTTTCGGTAAAGGGCTCAAGTCAGGAGGTAAAGAAATTCAAAGATAGCGTGACAGAGCCCATGCATTCTTTAACAGCGCTACTGTCAGGTCAATTCAAATTTGATAAAATTTACAGTTAAAAACATCCAGTCCATTTCACTTCCGGTTGATCTGCTTTTGGTATTCTTTGTAAAACGGAAGTTGTGAGGAATACAAACGGCTGAACTCACTTCCTTTCAGAAGTTTGAAAAGTAAGATTGAAGCTCTAAACTGAAACTTCGATCAAAAGAAGTAACGATGAAAAACAGATAATGAATAATCTAGGGCGCCATGCTCCGGTTCCTTATACAAGATCTCCGCTGGTGTATGCCCTCCCTTCTCACAATGTAGACTGTTCTATTTCATTCCGAAACCTGACGCGTTCAGACCAAAATTAAAGTGTTTCCAATTTTTGCAGAAAAAGATGATTTTAATCTGATCAATGAAAAACAGAAAGGTAGTCGAAAGGAGTACAGGTGAAGAACAGAGTTTCTGTGATAGCAGATAGCAACGTTACGCAAGCTCCTCCCGACTGTACGGGTCATTGAATGTAACACCAACTTAATTATGTTAAACAAGACTAGTGAAAAATTAATTCATCAGCACTCAGCTACAGTATAGTTTTTTATTAGGGTGCCTTCAAACTACAATGTTGTGTGTGCGCTAGCAAACTTGGATGCTGTACTGAGAGATAAAACAGGCATTAATTATATCCGACGTTTCAGTAATACGTCCAATCCCGTAACTACCTCGTCAGATCAGAGAGCGCAAGTGTGCATCATGTGATAATCAAAACAAAAACACACCTCAGAAGATCGACGCTTTTGTTTCGGCCATGACCTCGTGCTTGCATCTGTTCTCTTATTGTTACAACTCATCAAAGGCTGGCTGAATCTACGAAGTCAAGCTTTTATTTTTTCGTTTCTCTTCGAGAAAAATCAAGGTAAGATTTATTTCAATGAGCGTAAGAAAGTCATCCATGACGTATTTTAAAGGGATGCAATGTTTTAGGGGAACAGATCCAGGCAGAATTTTTCTATGAGTGAAATAAATTAGTTTTGATATCGAAGGCAAAAATTGACGCGATTTAAAGAAGGGAATCAAGACGTTGTAAATTTGGCTTTATATAACTTAAATGAATAGTCTTTCCACCGCTAAAATTAGGCGTGGTGTACGTTAGGGTATCACTTATGTTCCGTGACCAGTTTGAAGCCTCTGGATGGGTTATTACCGTAGATGGACACGCTATCATAAATACAGCATTACTACATGAGCTCTGGTGTACTTCGCATGGAACATCTGCCGACATCATTCGTTTATTTTGCCATTTTTATCGCAACTTCTGCTAAGAGGCACAACTTTTTAACAGTGATATGAATCAAAAATGACCATAAATGAGATAAATAAGAGGCTTCTCCGCAATTTCTTGATTAGTATTTCACTGTTCAAAACTTTCTTTGTTTGGTGTGACCACGCTGTTTTACGTGCATTGAAAACAGTGAGAAAGCATAGTTCCTTGTAAGGCTATTTTTTGAAAAGCAACATATATCAAGCTCGGTTTTAAAAGACCTAAAACAACGGTGAGCAAAAATTTTTTACGGTCTTCAACACGATTCGGTAACGCGAAGGATATTAGAACAACCGCAGTGAAAATAACTGAAATATTGAAAATAATTGTCACTCTTGTAATTGATGTAAGTGTTAAAAGATCCAAAACGTTCGATAAAAACAGTTGTATGGCTCTAGGATTTGCCATATAATGAACATATAACTAAGTGTCTGTGTATGTCGATGTATTTCGCGAAAAACCCTCTTGAACTGAATTCTGAAATGGGTCTAAATAATAATAGTGAATACTCGTTTAAAAATCCGGAATATTTCAACCACATAACAGGTGTTAACTTCATTTAGAGACTGGTCATTATTTATCACCTGAGTGGGAGGGGGGGGGGATATTTATCACCTGAGTGGGAGGGAGGGGGGGGGGAGAGAAGGTTGGAAGATTTTACTTGTGTCAATGCGAAATTTACCTGATTACCCCCAAAAAGTTCTGTAATGTTCTTATGACCCCCCTTCCACTGGCATTTAATCAGGGCTGTCAATTTTCGTCAGTCTCACCTTTATACTCTGTTAGTGACGACTGACTCCCATTCCGTTCCCCCTGAAAACCACGTGATCCCACCAAAATCCTCCAACATTTATGCGCGTGCGCATCACCGTAGACAAAACTATCAACGTGAATGGACTTTGTCTGTTTAGTAAGTATCTTGATATGTGTTTTATTACAATTATCTGAAATAACACGATTGGTCGATAGAAAATTCATGTGTGCAAAAGAAGCACAAGTAATCACTAATGCGTAATTTTGGTTGAAATCCTGGCGGACTTATTACTTACGAAAATGAAAATTTAAATGAATAATTAATTTGCGACAATAGTTACTAGATGTTCGATTTGAATCTACTTCAGTCAAGAGGTTATTCATGAAAAGGTTATTAACTTTCTCGCCGTATTAGGCGTAGAAGAGAGGTAGGGGTAGGGGTAGGGGTAGGGGTAAGGGTTCTTCCACACGAGGATTCATTTCGGTGAGTTGGTGGGATGGAGGGGTTCCAGGCATAAAATTTCGCTAACGTAGCATAAAAATTGATTTGGAAAAATAATCAGTCTCTTCGTCGTTTCACAAGTTATTTCATCAATATTGTGCTAGGTAAAGATAATATAATAGTCTCTTGGCTTGGCTAAGTGCTTTCGTATACATAGTTACAAATAAAGCACAGACATACTGGATGCCGTTAGAATGGGAAAGAGGTTTCCGTGTGCAAGTGAAATTGAGAAGAAACGTGTTTGGCGCGATTTACCATAGCATATATGCCAACTCTCCCGGATTATCCGGGAGTCTTCCGGATAAAGAGCCAATCTCCCGCTCTCCCGTACGGGTGACCAAAACTCCCGGATAAAAGTAAGTTTGGATCAGTTGCCCACAAAAAACTAAGATTTGAGCTCCATATGTTCCAAAATTAAAAAATGATCTAGATTCTTATGCTTGTATTACGGTTTCTGGCCTCATTTTCTTGCGTGATGCACGTTGTTCGTTGCAAACAAAAAGAAGAGAGTTTCTTCTTTGTTACTCCTATATAAGCGAGTCTGATTGGATGAGTATTTAACCAACTGAAGTCCCTGACAGATAGATCCAAGTTTTTCCCGCGAAATCGATCGGTGGGGGAGAGGGGGGGTAAGGGGTCCAAATCAAGAAAGAAATTTTCTAGGGGGTGGTCACATTGGCGAATTCGGTCGGGGGGGGGGGGGTGCTGGTCCGAAAAAAAATCTTCAGATTTGAGATCTCCAGAGGTTGGCATCTCTGCCATAGATCACAACCCTCATTAAAATGCTCCGCCTCTTCTACTCTAAAATGGCTTTCAAACTTAAATTTTGGACCACAACTTTGTCAATTCTCAATAGAAAAGAGCAAAACAAGATGAAAACGCCCACAATGCGTTTTCGTTAGTCGGTCTTAGTAAACACCAATCAGAATGCCTGTAGCATTGGAAGAGATGCAAGCTCCAGATACCATACCATTTTTATCTCTGCAATTAAATAAGAGTATGCGCAATTATGGCATTGACCTAGTTTTGAGATTCCTGAGAGTGGCCTATCACGTCTACAATGATAGGTTTCAAATTGCTGAGAATTCGAAAATGGACGCCGCCATTTTGAATCTTGCTGAGCAACCCGGCCGCTTACTTGTGGAGTTATTGTATTTAATAATTTTTTTTCATGATCTCTTCCAGGTTGAGATAATTAAACACTGATGGGCGAGGCAAAAGACGTAGTGAAGTTGGAATGGGGGATGGAAGGTTGGAAGGACAAGACTAAGGCTATGAAAGAGGAGATAAAACGTCAAAGTGAAGCGAACGAACTGTTCTTTGTGAAAAATGCCAAGCAAATTGACCTGTCCAACTTTCTGGAGGAAAGCACCAACAAGTACACCTTTGCAATTATGGGAATGAGTGGAGCAGCCATTGTAAATCTTCTTCGCACGATCATCATGGAGTACCGTGAAATAGACAGTGGTCCTTACTACTTCAAGTTTGCGGCTGATAAAAAGTTTAAGGTGGAGCTCATGCCCACAGCACTCTATCCTGGACATGGGCTGATTAAAGTCGTTGGCAGATTGAAGTATTACTCTTACCATGAAATGTGCGCGTTACTGGCTAAGAGTGGCGTGACAAGCAAAGGGCTTGGTGACATGACGCATAAACTGAATACCAAAGGCATGAAGTCTGCGTTATTTAATGCGGTTAGTCCCATGAACGAACTCCACTTTATGCTACTCTTTGAGATCGCACGGAGACTGGTGCGGGATTCAAACGGGAAGCCAGTGTCGACAGATCCCGTGCTCGACCTGCTTCCCTCGGGCGTAATCATTGGTCGAATCATCGAGCTTTTACGCGTGGAGAAAGACGTCGTACTGAGTTACGACAAAGTCTTCGGTGATCAGCAGCCTCTCAATTGGATAACGGAGAACAACACTATACTCAAACGCCAGAAAATGACTGCCATTAATAAAATGTTCTTTGAAAAATTTATCGAGGGTCAGCAAGACGAAGTCCCGTTTATTCGGAGGTTTCTGGAGGAGAATAAGAACGGTTACATTATCAAAACTTTGAAGGGGTACCTTGACGATTTAAAAGAAGTATTTGGCGAAATGTGATGTATCACGGATGAATTCTAACATGTCGCACCCAGATCTCTCTCTATTTAGGGAAAGTGGGGTGCCTGTGTGAAAAGTAGAAACTGGGTACGATGTTAACTTGAACTACAAAAACATATCATATTTTATTTAACATAGGAAGTTTACAAAAGCGCAAAAAATTTAGTATTTAAAATGAAAACATTACTTGTTTTTCTCTATGAACATTATTGAGCTAATTTGATGTTCCTCCGACAATGTTCCTCAAGGAGATATAAAATTACAGATTTACAGCACGTCTTGCTCGCTAAATTAAACAGGGACAAAAAAATATGTGTTTCTTCGGAAATAAACTTTTTTCAGATTTTTTTTTCATATGCGTAGTCAAACTAGTTTGCGTTATGTGTGAGTGTTACTGATAAGTAAGTGAGTCAGAAACTTACACACTCTTGAAGATTTTGTAAGTGCAGCCACAAGACTCCTTTTTATCTGGGGACAACGGACGGAATCGAACACTTATCTAACAGTGAAGAGGCATAGGCATAATGTTACAACGAGGGAAGTCGTGTTCTGGCTGTGTCTTAGTAGAATTTGAGTCATTATCATTACTTATTTGCGCCATGAAATACTATCATTTTCATATGGGAGTTGGACAAGAGAGAGGTACATAACGTCAATGCCTCTCTCCTTCACTGAATGCAATGTTGAAAGAGTATATTTATACGAAATTCTTGTCGCCATCATTTCGTAGCTGGTTTACCTTTTACTTTTAATTCAGAGTAAGAATAAAAGAAGAATCCAATATATTATTTTTTTTCGTGTATTTCTTTGTTTTATCAGGAGCGATCTTAACCTTTCAACCCCTACGAGTGACTAGCATCTAATTTCTCCCAAAATGTCACCCACACATTTTAAAAGGTTGTGAGAATAAGAGAATATAATTACTGAAAGAGCTACTGATTGTTAATCAAATTCTCCTGGTCTGCACCTTGGAAAATGCATTGAGAACAGTAGAGAGAGTCTGCATATTGATGTTAGGGTGAAAACGGTGACTCTGACTGTCATAAAGTCAAAAAAGGCAGTCAATGTAAGAGCCAATAAGAAGGAAAGTAAGCAGAGGATGGTCACATAATAGCTTCGTGCGCCGTAAAACACAAGTGGTGTCACGTTTGGTGCACGATCGGCCTCTAAATGGATGCGAGTGTGGCGCGAAATTCTGAACCAATCACAGAGCCTACCAATTCAAAACCAAAGCGATCTTATGAGATATCTCTCGCACTTTCGACATATGATTGAATATTTGAGGTAAATGTGATTTCCGTATACAGTGTATAGTTTATAAAGTGAGATTCCTTGCATTAGCCTTTCAGACGAACGAGAGTTGTTGGTTTACTTTCATCTTATGAGCATACCAACAGTATCTCAGCAATTTGGGTAAACATTGATAACAAGTGATGACATTATTGTTTCAGTTGTGTTATGTGTGTTTGTTTTCATTTTGGTTTTGTGTATTATACTTTTCCTTTTTTAGTTTGCTGTCTTTTTCTGTTTTGTTTTGTTCTATGTGTGTTCTTAATTTTTACTAAAATTTATTTTTGCAAGGGAAAATGAAGGACCCTAACTACGACCAAACCAATTTCTTTTTATGGAGAACTAGTGTTTTTGATCCAATGGTCATGCAGCTCTATTTAAAACGATCAGATGTTGTTTTTTTTAATTATAAATTATTGACAGAAATACAAAAAGTGACTCATAAATATTTCCCCATCGAAGTCTCAAAACAGTTGAATTACTTCATCCCAGTCCTTCTCGTCCCACTGACCATTCTCTCGCACATTCGGCGGGCTTTCCTTCCAGTTCCATTCTTTGATTGGAATCTGCCAATTCCTGCCGTAGTTTGCCATGATATAAGATTCTGTTTCACAAGGAATTCGCACCTTCATTAGGAGAAACTCTGTCCAACAAAGAGTAAATTTTGGAAAGATGTACCTGTGGGCGAAATGAAGTAAAAAGATATAAATAGATTACTTTTCACGTCTGCCTGTTATATACCAATTATTTGCGAGGTGAATATTATTCAACGGAATACTTGTTGTAGTTGCTCTAGTGTAGATATTTTCCCTAGCGTCTCCTTTATGTCAAAGCCACATTTCATATTTGCAAATGTGAAATGTCGCTCAGATGTAGCAGAGCGCGAAAAAAATTTGCAACCCGCACTAAGCGCGGGAAAACGAGAGACAATCACTCGCTTCCTGGGAAGCCATGGAAACTTTCATTTTTAAAGGTAAGCTTATTTTATCATCCCTGCTTGCAATACTCACATGAACACCCATAGTTTTATACTGAGAATATGCCTAAGAAAAAAAGCTCTGCTCAAATTCACCTTGTCCTAAATCTAAATCCGTTGTTTCCATCAGAATTTCCGTCAATGTTGTTGCAGTTCAAGGCACCAGGTAAGCGCGTCTTGCTTTGTGCTACATTTTTTTAAACTTCATCTTTATTGATCCTTATCTAAAATTATTCTTCCCTTCAATTTCTTCCCAAAACTAAAACTATCGGCTATCAAACCTGAAAACTCATAAAATTTCAGGGCTCAAATTAGCCTGGCAAAAATTTATCCACCGCGGGCAAATAAACCAGACTTCGTATTTACAAAGTGGATTTGGTAGCCATCTTACTGATAACTTACTTGAATTTTTTCCCCGTTTTAGCCTGTGTTCCACCATTCCACATGTATTCCTTTTCTTCGTAGAAAAAGAAAATATCTAACTTCACATAATCCTCTTCTGTTCTAAAGGATAACTCAAAGCTATCGTCTATCTAAACAGAACAGAGGAAGAATGGGTAAGTTAAAAAAAATACAAAAAAAAAACCAAACAAATTGAAGTCTATGTTGTATAAAAATACGGTTTACCAACAGCGCTTCGGGCATTACACTAGCCTGGAAATCCAGAGCACCTTTATCTCATAAAATAATGAGGTAAATAAAAATCTCTGCCTCTTAAGCGTAATTCAAGAACACATTTGTAAAGATGAATTCAAATTGTAACACGTAAAAACAAGCATTATTTTGCCACTAAAGACAAAATGAGTCATGTCGAAACATGTTTTGTAAACTAGAAAATCTTGTTTGTTTCATGTGAACCCTTGAGAAGGTTAAACTAAAGTAAAGCTTACCCGGCCGAATCTGTGTTTTAAAAGCAGTCCACTTTTTTCAAATTCAGCTATAAGAAGTGAATTATAGTCCTTGATCCAAATACCAAGGTCAACATCTTTACTATGGGGAATAATATCACACTGCCTGAACCAACCTTAAGATTTGTGAGAAGAGAATACAAATATTTTAAAAAACATTGAGACAGTCCCTTTATTGACATGTTATAAAACATTAGTTGGAATACAAAAAGACAAAGTCCTTAGCAGTACATAAGAAGAGAATTAACCTACACATGCTGAAAGAACAAAATGTGCTGAACAGCACCAGAAATTATTCTGCAAAAAGTTTGGATGGATCCAAACAATAGCTGCTTCAAAAATTCACAAAGAACTTTCTTCTTGAGCAAATTTTTTTTTTTGAAAAGGCTGGAAAAGCCTCAGAATTTGTTGACAGACTGTATATAATTGTTTGAATTAGTTAACCTTAACTCCCATGAGTGACCAAGACAGAATTTCTCCTTACTATATCTATACAATATAATGCAGACAAGTGATAAGAATAAAGAAAAATATAAATTATGGGCTTGCTAATTGATCTGATACCAAATTCTCCAAACTAACCTAATAGGAATCATTTAGCAGACAGTAAGGAGAATTACTAATGAGATCTTGAGAGTTTAAGGGTTAATTCATAGGCTACAAAAGTAACAAACAGGACAAAGAAGGGAAGATTACTAAAGGAATAAATGTCAGAGAATGATACGTGTAGAAAATTGAAAGAAAGGCAGGGGAATGGGAGGGAGTAAAAAAGGGAGCAAGTTAAAAAAAAAAGTTTTAAGACTATAATTGAATGGGTCTGAAAATCTTTGCAGTTGAACACATCTTGGTTTCGTTAAATCTCCCATGACTTTTCTTACCTAAACATGTTCCACTGCTAAGCCAAAATCTAACACCCAGGTGATCCAGAGTATTGATGGCTGTGGACAAAACTTCTAATGCTTTCTTTTTAAAAAGGACTGCATCTTGGGAAACATCTCTTCCATATTTGCCGTAATATGCTTGAGCATTACTGAGATTACAACCTGTAAATTGTGACTGGCTAGTCTCTGAGGTAAGCTTCTTTGGATTGGAGGGAATGCTGATGGGTATTCCATCTATAACTTTTTCCTCAATGGGGAACCTTTAGAACATAAATCAGAGGTGTTAAACTTAAAGGGAATAGTATTAATGTGATTGTGTGGAAATATTATACCTGCAATTAAATAATGTCAGAAGAATGGTAGCTAACATAGCTATGTCATTTTTTCGGTGATTAGAGAAATTACCAGCTTTTGTTTGGTGTTGGGTTAGTTATATATGTACTTTTGTTATAATCACTAAATATGTGAATGTGGATGAGGTTGATAAATACAACATAACCAATAACAGTTTTTTTGTCTGGAACAAGGTAGGAAAGTAAACAATTTTTTTTCTTCACTTGGTCAGGATTTAAAGGTCTTGGTAACATGCTCCTTCTCAAAATTTCAATAATAATCCCTTCCCCTCCTGGCAAAAATAATCCTTTTCTTTAATGTATTGAACAAGGTATTAAAAAATATCTTGTCTTCACCAGGGAAAAAAATACAAATAGTTTGCCTTAACTGGGTCCGGATTTATAGGTCTCCACTCAAAATTTCCATAATTCTCCCCTCCCCTCCAAGCAAAAATTACAGTTTTCTAATTCTTTCAATATATTGAACAAGCATAAAACTAAAAATTTCTTGTCTTCACCAAGGGAAAAAAATACAAATACTTCATGACTGGGTCAGGATTTAAAGGTCTATAATCAAAATTTCCATAATACCAGCACACCCCTCCCTGCCTCGCAACAATAACAGGTCTTTTTTTTTAATTGAACAAGGTGTAAAAACTAAAAATGTCTTTTCTTTACTTGCAAGAAAAATACAAATAGTTTGCCTTCATTGGGTCAGGATTTAAAGGTCTCTTTGGTACACTCTTACTCAAAATTAAATTTATATTTAACACATTCTTTCCCTCCCTTCATATACCTTATACACCACACTTGCAGTAAGTTTCTACATCTGCCTACCTGCTATGAGCTGCAGGATATTTGAACAATGTAGCTGCAGTAATTCCTTGAATAGGTCCTCGCCACAAATAAGATTTCCTGTCATAAAATATGACCAGCTTTATAACTACGTCAGCCTTGGTAATATTACATGAAGATAAAATGGACTTGATACTCAAAAAATCTTTACTTGAATCAAACCATGGTTCTGGAACTTTATCACAGGCAGTAAGGAAACCTTGGGTGTGGAGGCCTGACATAAAACGGGACTAACAAAATAAAAAGAAATGAAAGGTCATGTAGATAAAAGCAAGCAGCCTGATCAATTGGTTGCTTCCACAGTATACACCTACATGTAAATTCTTAACCCTTTAACTCCCATAGTGACCAAGACAGAATTTCTCCTTATAATATCAATACAACATCAACCAGATAAGTGATGAGAATAAAGACAGATATCAATTTGGGGATAATTAGTTGATCCAATACTAAATTCTCTGAACTAACATTGTGAGAATTGTATGATTGCCAGTAAGAAGAATAACAAATTTGATCTGGGAGTTAAAGGGTTAAAAACTGACATACTCACTATTAATGTTGAAAGTGAATTCCTCTGTCCTTTTTCCCATTTTGAATTTATCACACCAAATACAAAACGTTCATGTCCACACAACAGCCTACATCCATTTGTTTCAGGCTGGATCACTTCAGATACTTGTGGGTCAAATAACAGTGGGTGAAATAAAAATAATGGAGCCCCATGTTTCTGTCCAACATCTGTGAATACCTCTAGTTGGTTCTGGAAAAAAAAGTTTCATGGCTCTTTTATAGTCAATATTGGTATCCCTTGAAATCCCAAGATCTTAAAGGTATCTTTTCTTTAATGCTGGTAATTACATCTTACTGAGAATTGATTTCTGAGTCGTTGAAAAATCCACTGTTTCATAACTTTCTTAATCCTTACCTTCTATAAGCTTGACCAAGGATTGGTATCACAAGAAGTAACTACAAGTGGGTATTAATCAATCCTCTGAGGTCAAGAAACTTAAAGCAATGGCACTCCTTTAGGACAGAACTACAGTCCATTAAAGGTTGTTACTAGTTTTTTTGTCAAGTTTCCTTTAGTTACAAAAAAAGCTCCTGGCCAAGTGCCAAGAGTTTCAATTACATGTTCCATCTACGGGGGTAACATGTTCAAATCCATTTAATAACTGAGCATTCTGTTGAATCATTCTGGGTTGGTTATTTAAACAAGTTTAGCTGTTGTTGACAAAACTGACTCCTAAAAAATCCTCAATATAGCTGGACCATTTATCTGAAAATTTATTTTTGAGCACAGTGTCAAGAGGGTCAAAAGCTAACAGTGGAAGGAAATTTAGTCAATGAAATCATCCCTCTTGTAGAAAAAGCCTGAGGCCCACTGATTATGTAAAAGTGTGGTTTGGGTTACATCTCGTTTAAATAGCTGGCCCTCTGAGTTTTAGCACTAATTGCTAACCTTGAAAGTTTATAGGAGAAAGTGAATGCAACTGCCTGGCCTTTTATGTGGTCTATGGCAGTCTTCAGTTCCTCAGAAAAGTTTCTCATCATCTGTTTTTCCTTTTACTTACTTCAAATTTGTAATAACCACTTAAATTTTCATTAAATTTATATTGTTGTTGTAATCATTTATCTTTTTGCTTCCTCACCATCCCTATTATTGATATTATCATTATTATCATTACTATCATTATCAAAGAATAATAGTGATTACAACAACAATAGTATAAAATGAATACAAACATGTAAAAATCACCTAACTCATGAACCCCTAAAAGTAACTAGCATCTACATGTAATTTCCCCAACAACATCACCCCTGAATCAAATATTAAGGTCACGAGAATAAACGAGATGATAACCAACTGAAGTACATCTTGATCGTTAAATAAATTCTCCTTGTCAGCACGTTAGGAAATGTATAGAGAGTAGTATGGAGGATGAGAATGGTGATGTTAGGGTGGAAAGGCTCATGTGTCGACATACCAGTACATCATTCTTCCGTCCACGATTGGAAAGAAGTCCCTGCAAGCTCTTTAACGCTTGAAATCTTGAAAGCAGCTGCGGGTGAAATTTAAAAACACTATGAGGACTAACTGCTATCTGACTTCAAAACTGCCAGCACTTGCTAGTAACGCAGTTACTGCGACGGACATAACTCTGCTGAGCTTTTTGTCGCACGAGTTGACATTTATTTTTAAATTAAAAAACGCGCTTACCGTACTATCGATTGCTTTTAGAGACAATAATTGTAGAAATAGAAAAGTCATAGAGATCATCAAAAGAAATACAAGTATTATCCATCGTTTAAGGTTAATTTGATCTCTCATCGGCATTGTCCATTACCCAGTATCATCCGCCATGTTTCTATTCCTCGGCCAAGTCTCTTCTCACTTTTTCCCAACAGTCTGGTAACTATCAACATGGCTGCTCTAGTCTAATAATGAAAAACACGACAAAGGAAGATAATGCGAAATGGAAAAGTTCTCTTTTTAGGTGTGGTATTATTTGTGTTTTTTCTATCGGTTCCGTTCGCCCGAAAAGTATTGCAACCATCGGAAGATAAGGTCAAGTATACTTTTGTGGTACGCGAAAAGATATTGAGGTAGAGATGTGTAAACTTGTTCAACTTCAGGTAATTTAGCGTTAACAATTGAGTTGAAACGTAAATTGACCTCCGTAAAGAGTAAAAAAGCTGACGTTTCGAGCGTTAGCCCTTCGATTAGAGGAATTGTGGGTTGTGTGTGGGTTTATATGCATAAAGTGGAGCTACGCTATTGGTGGGAGTATGGTGACGAGAAAACAAGAATAAATTAGTTGAATGAAAAGCGCTCGTCGATACTGTGGGGATTAAGAGTACCGATTTGGAAGATAAATTTTTGTTCTAGTGTTTTTCGGAAAGCCGCCCACTCCGAAGAAGGGCTAACGCTCGAAACGTCAGCTTTTTTACTCTTTGCGGTGGTCAGCATACGTTTTCAACTCAGTTGTTAACACTAAATTACCTGCTATACTCTCCCACCGAAGCAGCACCATAGTTTTTTTAGAGACTTACCCTCTTTGTTCAACTTCAACCAGGCTGTAAACTTTATTTCGCTGATGTTTGATTGTGTTTGGATTTATGGATAAGATGTTTGACTAAAATTTGCTTGAATTTTCTTCATAAAGGTTGTTGAAGCAGGCCATTTGAAAACTGCAGTAGCAATTGATGACATGATTGGAACCACACAAAACACTTCTGCAGTAAATGTTCTCAAGTTCTTTGATCTAACTGATGGTTTGGAATTGAGCTGGGCTCATGCGGTGAACAGTCAGTTAAAGCTTAAGGAAGCCTTATCTGGAAAGAGTATGATGTTAGAGGCAGATATACTTCTATGCCCCGAAGATGGAACACCAATAATGGCACATCCACCCAACACTGACAGTGATCTTTCACTCACTCAGTTTCTGGAAAAAACTGTTGGTTCAAGTAAAGGACTTAAGCTGGATTTTAAAGAAACAGCTGCAGTTGAGCCTTCACTAAAAATTCTTACCGATCAGATCACAGAGCAGCATGGTGCAACTATTCCAATATGGCTTAATGCAGATATCCTCCATGGTCCCTGTCATACAGACTGTAATGATCCTGTTGATCCAAAAGTGTTTCTTTCTCTCTGTGCAAAATATTTCCCTTCAGTTACATTATCAGTTGGCTGGACTACAGGCAATCATATTTCTAAAGAAAATGGTGGTTATGATTGGCATCTCATTTGGCCAATGAAAGAGTTGCTCTCAAATTTGACTCAGCCAATCACTTTTCCAATTAGAGCCAATTTGATTGGTAATTCAATAGAGCAGTTAATATGGCTTCTTGGTCTCTCCGATGAGTACACCTTAACAATCTGGTCAGGAAACTTTGACACTCCAAACATGAAAGACCTTGCCACTCTGCGTAATAGAGTGTCTGACAAAACAAGGATCTTTTATGACCTGCCTTTAGATCAGGAAACAAAATTCAAGGAAGAACTAAAACATTACAGATAATTTTTAGAGGCCCTCATACTGATGTAAGAGGCTTCTTTTTAGCTCATATTTGAAGTAATGATGGTAATAATAACAACAATAATAATAATGCATTTAATAATTGTAACTACTTGAAATGAATGAGAAACCAATTAAAATTCATAAAAGTGTGAAAATTTGCACTTCCTCTAGCTTTTAATATGAAGACATATCTTTTATAACTACTGTTTCCATCTCTTGATTTTAAATAACATGATGTACAAATACCTTTATTGCCTATTTGATTTGAGTTTGAAGTAATTGGTGTTAATTACTAGTAGTTGACTGCAGTTTTCTCTTAGAAATGATTACCCTACTGTTGTACTCTCCATTGTTGGAGACTTTGTGACATGTGTCAGATGATGAGTGTGAACATTATGTCAAGAGCTGGAAGCACTGCCTGTAGTGATTTTGGGACATTGATTGGTTTGCATGATCGATGCAACCTTGAATAACCTTTCAAATTAGTACTTAGCAACAACCAATCACAATGTAGAGAATATAATATAAGAGAGTGATTTCTTACAAATTTTGCAGAGTAGCTTTTTACACACCCATTGTAAATAAGCGAATAAGAGAGTGGAATAAAACAGTTTGATTGAGTTTGGTTCATTAGAATTCTATCCCTAGTAAATGGGGCAAAGTTTACAAAATCATCAGTTTGAAAACCTTTAGAAGACAGTGTCCTCTATAGCCCTCTTTGTATACAATTGCATCATATAAAGGTTACCTTCATTGGCACAGAATATCTAACTAAAAGGGAACCAAAAACAAAAAATTTGTTTGGGACTAATATATCTTTGTTGTGAGTGCATCCCTCGTCTAAATCTTTTTTCTTTATTATTCCAATATTTAAGGAATGTTGATGTCCTGTAGATATTGTTCTACCAACCATTATGCTAAGGCACTGCGACCTTAAAGCTTGTGCATGTACCATATAGAGCTTATGCATGCATATCTACCTTGCAAGTTGTTTACTTTGCAGGATTGGTACACTTTCAAGCAAAGCTGTTACTTCAAGATAGCAGTAGCAAACTTAATGGATGGTCAAAAAAATTTTCAGTTGCCTGTCAAACGTTTTTTTTCAATTTCTCAGAGTAATCATTTCCTAGACAAAACTGTGGTCAAGTAGCAGCAACTGGTGTATAGTTACCTTAGTTAAATGATGTCTAGAGTTCTCTTGGTATGTTTACCACCTATAAGTAAAAGATTCTAGGCAAAGTCACTATTGTTCATATCTAAACAAAACTATGAAACAGTGCCATCAAAACAAGTGAAATTATTCCAAAATAACACCTCAAGGAGCTACAACCTGCCAACCCAGGCAGTGCAACTGCAAAGTGAACATCTCTCACAAGAATTGCATCTGACAGTACTCCTGTGGTGATTAAGGCATAACCCCCAGCTGGCTCGCTTTTTACATCCAAGGAAACAGTTGCTTTACTTTCATGGTTTTCCCTTGCAGTAATTTCACATTTGACAGTTCTCATTTCTGTATCAGTTGAATCTTCTGAGATTTTAAAGTTGAACTCACCCTTACCACTTTTTACTGATCCTTCCTTCATATCATTTTCAGCTATAGAGAGTCGAAAGTTGCCATCGCTGTGCAGCAATAACGAGACTACCTGACCTGAGAGTACAGCCTCACCAGTTTCATCTTTAACATGCAGTTTGATGGTAACACTTCCACTCTCTCTAGCTCCATCAAGCTTGATGAAGGAAACATTACCTGTAAATTCTGAGAATGCACCATTTGATACTTTGTACAGAGTCTTCTCAGAAACAACTGTTCCACCCTGTCCTGAAAACATTACACTGTTATGACCAACAAGAACATCTTGGCAATCCTTTGCAGCTGAAGCTTTCCATTCAAAAGCCTCTTTCTTTTTAACAATGTCACTGTTGGACTTTAGAGCATCTTCAAAGGCCTTTTCCTGATCAGGTGGAAGGTCATAATAGATTCTTTTAAATGACACATTATTACGTAGAGCAACAAGGTCTAGAGGATCAAGCTTATCAGTTGTAGAAGACCAGATTGTCACAGTGAATTCTTCTGACAAGTCAAGTAACCACTGAAGCTGATCCCATGACCTTTGCACAAGATTAGCACGGAAAGGAAAGGTGATTGGCTGTGCAATCTGGGATACAAGTTTTCCCATTGGGAGAACTTGGGACCAGTTGTAGTAGTTTTTTGATGCTGTCATATTATTTCCTGTTGTCCAGCTAATAGAAAGGGTTGCATTGGGGTAGTAACTTTTGCACAGAGACAGGAACCTCTCATGGTCCACAGGAACACAAACTTCATCATAGCAAGGACCAGGTAGTATATCAGCATTCAACCAAATTGGGTTGGTGACCTGTTGCCCAGACGTTACATTTTTTATCATCTTTAAGGCAGGTTCCACTACTTGAATTGTCTTGAAGTCCAACTTGATTCCTTTGCTGAGTGAGGTGGTTGTTTTCTCCAGAAAAGTTTGCAAGGTTAAGTTGCTGTCTACAGCTGGGGGATGGGCCATCACAGGGGTTCCATCCACCATGTTGTTCCGCATCAAGACATCTGCCTCCAGCATCATTGTCTTGCCTGACAGCCCCTGTTCTAATAACTCAGGTGAGTTGACAGCATGTAACCATGTGACATCAATCCCATCAGTCACTTCAAAGAACTTCAAAATGTCATCTTGGGCATGATGAATCATCTTACAAGGCACACTTATTGCAAATGGGTAAATCACTCCTATAAAGTGAAAAAAGGAAGATAAGAGAATGACTAAATGTCTAAATGACTAAATGACTAAATGTCCTGTGACTAAATTTTAGTCACAGGACCTTGCCAGTACTCAAAGTAAATTCTCAAGTCTGTGTGACTTCATCTGATTGACTTCTTTATTTACAGCTCTCTCTGTGACTATCATTAGTTGTTCTTGGGGAGAGTTGATTGTGGTGTCTGTCATTTGGTTCATACAGACCTTAAGCTTTTCCCTTCGGGGTTCTTTCCTAACTGGCTCAAACAATCACAATGTTTTTGTCACATAATACAGTAAAAAAAAAAAACACAACACTTTATTTGATATTTCAATATTGTACCTTCATGTATCAATATCAACACTCTTTTTCCACAGGGAAAATTACATGATGTTCTGTGTCTTATCACAAATAATGAATAATAAAATCTGGGTCCATTTATTTAGCTCCTATCCTGTGAAGCTTCACTCCACTTAAATAGCCTTGATTCAATTGGTTGATGACATTGCTTCTTCTACAGACAACAAAGAAACAACTGTTCCAGTTTTTCTAGGTCTTGCTAAAAATTTTAAACCTTTTGACACTCTTGATCATTATATCTTGCTCCATAAACTAGATCACTATGCTTTAGGGGAGGTACTCTATTAACAAACAAGAAACAGTATAGCTATTGTATACAACAGGAAAAAAATGACATTTATAAGGTATCCTACAGTGATCAATATTTAGCCCACTTCTAGCCCAAGCCAAGTCCACTTCTCTTTAATATCTAATTAAATGACCTCCCAAATGCACATAATCTAGTAAAAACATTTCTCTGATGACTGGTCTTTTTTATTCACATGCTTATCCCAGACAGACCAAATATGTTACAAGTTGTTCACAATGATGAAGATATTGGACTGGCTTAAAGCCAAAAAATTATCCCTTAATATTGCAGTAATAAATTATATTGATATTTTTCTCTTTTGCTCAACAATTTATATTATTATAAAACTTGATATTATACTGGTATTGGGCAGGTTGAGGTTACAAAGTTTCTCAGAATTTGAATCGATCAGCATCTCCTGCGGAAGTACGGTGTACACATATGTCATGTTACTTAAAAGATATCAAAGTATATTGGTCAGGAATTAGAAGAAAATCTGACTCACTTCTCTCTTTCTTCAAATCCTTTTTTATCTTCATAATATACCCTACATAAAGGATATTACATGGCCGCTTGAAGATACGAAATTTCTCTTCGAGTGTCGAAAATTATTTCACGAGTGAGCAAAGCACCAATATCAAAGACGCTGAGAGAATTCCTGACTGCCGGGCATTTAGCCGCAGGGAATAAAATAATTGATTAAATAAATAAAAGAGCAGAATTCGAGCTACGACCAATTCGGCAGCGCGCTCTTCCGAATGCAGTCTCCTTCGTGATCAGAAAGTCAATCTTGAATTTCCTTGACCACAATAAGTTTAAAAAAGATCTTTGCCTTGGATTCAGTAGCTGTGCTGTTGCAAATTAAAGCCCTTAAGGACAAACTACATTGATGCACACGACACTTTGTTACTACATTCATGTAAGCTTAAAAGCTTCACATCTAGGAGATGAAAAAGTGAAAAATTAAAACCCCAACTTATATAACCACAACCTATTTTTTCTTACCAAGATATGTGGCAAGTAAAACGAAAATTGACGTCGCCATCCTCATCTTTGAGAACCTACAATAATTGAAGACGTTCAACTGTTTGAGTAAAATTAGGACTGGGCCAGACGATTCATGAATCGCGTGACTTTGATTCGATTTTGTAGAGAAGTTTCTAAGGAAACTGTCATACTGTAGGTCCTCCCACCCCGCTCAAATTATTAGGGTGAAATTAGGGTGGTTTTGCAAGAGGACGGGAACGTCATTTCAGAAAGGGAAAGCGCACGGATAGTCTGGACACGACTCTATTTCGACTTCCGGTGTTTACGTTGCCGTTCTTCCCAAACAAGTTCAGGACGTCATTTCGCTGTAATAATAATAATAATAATAATAATAATAATAATAATAATAATAATAATAATAATAATAATAATAATAATAATAATAACTTTATTTAAGTGTCAGTGTATTTTAGCACTGCTGTGCTAATTGGGGACACTGTAAATAAGGAAACAAATATCGTAAATGAACAGAAATTCGTTAAAAAACCAAACTGGTAGGAGGCAGACCAGTTGGCTATTTACAAAGGGAGTTGAATTCGGGGCCACCGAAGACAAATCCATCCAGTGGCAGGGAGGAGGACTTGAACCCGGGACCTCCGGCTTACAAGTGCAGCGCCCTAACCACTAGGCCACGCTCGCCTCCGATCAAAACGCCTGGGATTTGCGTAAATTTTGCGCTTAAAAACGAGATAATGCTGTTTGGAATTATATCAGGAATTATTTCAGAACTCATTTCCAGGATAACCTGGTCCTTTGGTTTATTGGGTGTATTTTGGGAAAATTTACCGCTTCATTTATGCTGCATTCCCGAAAGGAAACAATCGTTGGCAAACGCCGGATCCAAGATTTTAGGGCTCAGTACACTTGTAATTGAGCAAGGCTTAAAACAGCGAAAGGGCTGTTCTTTGAAAACTCTAAGAATGGGACGCTTTTAATTTTATCATGAATCAATTCATCAATAAATTAAACTTGCTTCATGTTGAAGTTTATCAAAATGAAATATCACGGCGCTTACCTACTGTATTATTCGGTGTTATCTGTTGTTATTGTCGTTTTTACCATGATTGAAAACTTTTCTGCGAATTGAGGTCAGAGATGAAAAAAAATGAAAATAGCCCAAGTATGCACTTCTTTTATGTTTGAAATTTTTGATCAACGCTGGTGAAAACTAAGACAAGAAAGTCATGCTCTCGCTTCGAAATAAAATGACAATCAATTTGATTTCGGCACAGCTTTCTAAATCAATTAATTTGATTCAGTCTTGAACGACTTTATTCCTTTAAAAAAATTAAGTTAAACAAAAACGAAAAAAAGTAAAACAGGAACGGAGTCTTATTCCTATGTCAAACCGTTTCGTTGGTGACTAGTTTGAGTTAATTTCATTCTTTCACGGATAAATAAGAACTCTCGTAAAAAACTCCATCGTTGGGTCACTTAGTTTCTACATGGTTTCGCCATAACTCCTGATAATTCCGTTTAACTCTAAGAAGGTGGTGCTCAAAAGAGATGTACTGTCATAATCGAGAAGAATATTCTGTAAACAAGGGGAAAAACGACGACGATTTCCAAATTATCCTTTACAAAATTATGAAGAAAAACGAGCAGTGCTGAAATCTAGTAGCACGAAACGAAATGAAAGCGACACAAATCATAGAAAAAAACTATTCAGTGGGCTTCAAAATTTGATCGATGAATTCGCAGACTCGAGACTAAACTGGAATGGAATAGTTTCAAAGTTTAATGGCCTATGTGGATTCATATTAACAACTTACTCGCCGTATCTATAAATATCCTCTGTTTGTGCTTGTTACATAACTCTCAAAGAAGATGATTTCGTTGTCCCTAGAGTGGTACATAAAACCGAAAATTCAAAGGTGATGGTCATCTTTAAAAAGCCGAGGTGAGGATTCCCGTTGCTACGACTGCTAATGAATGGTAGTCATCGAGATACTTTCTTTTCTTGTCTTCGGTGGTACATTCGGAAGGCCAACCAGAAGCTTGGTGTTTTAATTTCATGAAGGTTTTGATGTAAGGGGAAAACAGTTGTTGTGATTTTTGTTTAAAATGCCAAACTTCGTAAATGTACATGATGACGTACCTCTTTTCCACAGCTTTTTGTCGTTCCAGGGTTGTCCAGGTACCTGTGAGGCATCTTTCCTCGACAGAATGGGGGCACTTGTCGCTTCTTTCTAGGAGTGCTTGTTTTATGTTTTGTTGCGCGCATGTTCTGCACAACGGGAAGAGTAGTTTTGATTCGTACCTCCATGGTAGAACTGGATGGTATAGCTCATAGGGAGGTAGAATTTTGCATTTTATCAATCCATAGTATCTTGAGATGTCTGTTGTTCTTGGTTGGTCAATGAACTCGGGATGGCAGATGGGGTATTCGCATTCCAAATTTGCACATGGGTACAGTGATATTATGTCTCTATATTCGATCTTTTCATTTTCATTTTCTTCAACTTTGTGGTGAAGTTTAATGGCATTGGTTCGACAACCAAAGAAGGCTTCTCGGGAGTCGAGAGGTGGTACGATGTCGAGTTTATCGACGAACGCTTTCAGTTGAGGATCTGTTTTTTGCATTCCATTCCATTCGCATTCCCACATCTCCTTAACTCTGTAACCTAAGGCGGTTAGTTGCTGGATTTTCATTCTGGTTTTCTGCCGGACATCACGCATGGTTTGATTCTGATGAATGGGGTGTCTCATGGTACGGTTTGGGAAGCAATCTAGACAGCCATGGTAAAAACATCCTTGAAACTCGTAGGCGGTACGTGTTTGTGCGTCGTAGCCGTCTACTAGTAATCTTTGAGTTCCATTTACTATTCTTCTTTCGCCTTTGTTTCTTGCATGGGCAATTCGAGGCAGATGGTTGGTTTTGTGGAGAAACAGTATGACCTCAACAGTTGTCTCTTCCATCCATGCAAGCTGGAATTATTTCAAGCCCTCTCTAACATGGAATGGTATGTGAAATGCCCCTTCTCTCGAGAGTGTGGAGTCTTTGCGCATAGAAATATGCAAAACGCTTACATGGGTGTGCTTAATAGAAAAGTACACGACACCTACAGGAAATTGAACGGAACCATCATGTTTGAATGCAATTGTCAGGCTTCCTTGAAAGTAAGTCAGTCACCTCTAAACCCAGGAAGACCCTTTTTGCTTGCCGGAATAAGGATGGATGCCGATTCTTCCAATAAGCAGATGTGGGATTCACCAAGAGAAACGAAGGACTACAAAAACTGTTCAAAGAATACGGCAGGTTTTAAAATTACACAGAAAAAAACAATTCCATTTTTTTTGTAAATAACGCTTAATTTTTTTCTGTCAAAAAATATTTTCATCGGCGAAAAAAACTTAAATCCCAAGCAGTAATTTGAATTTGGCGTAAATATATAATTTAACGCCTATTGTATCTGCATGGATGGCATAGTGGTGAACATAGTAGTCTTTCATGCGGTTGACGTGGGTTCGATTCCCGGTCAGCTTGTTTTTTCCTTTTTTTCTTTTTTTTCTTCGTTGTAAAGCCGAAATGTTCCCAAGTTGTACTTTATTTATTAGAAATTTTTTTAAAAAATTTTTTCCAAAAGCTTTGAACGTAACAATATTTATCGAGAATTTGGATTAAATATATAATTTAACCTGGGTTCGATTCCCGGTCAGTTTGTTTTTTTCTTCTTTTCTTTTTTTTTCTTCGTTGTAAAGCCGAAATGTTTCCCAAGTTGTACTTTATGAATTAAAAAAAAGTTTTTTAAAAAATATTTTCCAAAAGCTTTGACCGTAACATTATTTATCGAACAATGGTATCCGAAAAGGCGTCGTTAACATCAAGAAGAAGAAGAAGAAAAATGATACTTTACGATTTTGTAATTGTTATGTGACGAAAAAAAAGTAAATTCCTTTTTTTTCTTTTAACGGTGAAAGGTATAATTATATTATTTCATTAACACCTGAACCGCCCGTAACCGGCCGTAACCGCTTGTAACCGTTTGAAACTAATCAACTACAAAGAAATGATGTTACGCACGGGCGACTTTCAATATTTTTTATTAAAATCACAAAGAGTCAAGTAAATTTTCCAACACAAATCGAAACCTTCGAATGGCTTCGATGGCTTCACGTTTGTTCTGAGCCAAGAATCTCGATACTCTTCGATTCTCATATCGATGAAACGTGACCAGATACAATCCACTATCCGTTCCATGCAACATAATATGATCCGGTAACCTTTCCTGAAAATATTGTAAAAAAAAAACCTCTCTTTCAATGGGAATACTTTCATCCCACGTATAGTTCCAATATTCAATATGATTTTGAGCTGTCTCCCAATGGAATGGTGTCGGTGGTGATGGATGGACTCCGAGTAAGGCTTCCAACACTGTCGATGGGGGATCTGCTCTACAATGTGGACATGAGGGCCATAAATGTTTTTCTTGTTGGGACTGGTACCACTTCATTAAACAATTAGTGTGGTCGTCTTCTTGCAGCAAGGCGTTTTTTCCTGCTCAGGGCAATCAGTCACACAAATTGTGCATTCTTGATCTTCAATAACTTAAAGAAAGAATGGTCATTTAGTGTCGCTCGTGTACGACTATGAAAAAAACGGAAAAAAAAGATTGGAGTGCGATATATATGAACTTACCGCATGGTGTTTGTGCATCATTCATTTTTTTCTCATTTATAATTTTTCTTCTTGTCACATGAAATCTCTCCACGCGCTGAAAAAAATTTGCATATTGACCTTGACATTCGTTCCTCATCCATGTTTACGATAAATGAAAAAAGACATATAAAAAATCTCTTTCATACTATAAAATTTTTTTTTTAATCCCATTAAAAAAAAATTGGAATAAAAAAAAAACCAAATTCTCCTACAACTCAATCAACAAACAATCCAATTCATTCAACAAAAAAACCTTCCTCATCTTAAAGAAACAAGACACAGAAAATCTCACAAAAAAAACCACGGGGAAAAAAATCCGTGATTGTATTTCATCAAGTCATTGAAAAAATCAACAAATGAATAAAAAAAACCTCAAATCAGACAAGACATTGCACAACCCTACAAGAACCGAAGCAACCACGTGCAAGAAAAAAACTGAATCAACAACAAAACAACCTCATAAAAGGACTCATCAAAAAAAACAATTTTCTTCAATCCAACAAAACTTGTTTTAACACATAATAACATTTTTTTACATTGAATTAAAATAATAAAACGAAATAAATATCAACGGCGCTTTGACATCGACTTCATTCACTAAAAACAAACAAAAAATTCGCACATTAAAAAAATTTTTTTGATTATGTCATCTTATAATAAAAACTAAATTTTACCTTCTTGTATTATTCGCTTCACTTTTAAACAATCCTATCGTCAATGACATCCATTTCACTCGCTAAAAAACAAAAAAAAAATTACACGTTTCATTTCGTCATCTTATCGCAAACACACGCGTAAAAAATATAATCTCATCTTACCCTCACAATCCCCCAGCATTCTACCTCCTCTGAAAACATCCTCGTTTGTAATATTAGCATAGTGCCAACAAAATTATAAACGAAACAAAAGGAAATAATAAACAGGTTAAAATAAAATACACTGACGTCGTTACGAGTAAACCTGCCGCACGAGTAAATGGCCGACGCTTGCAAACGGTTTTTTTCCCCACACACGCTAAACTCGTCACCAATAGCTCGCAGTTCTTGTGACGTCATCAGAATGGAATGTGAAAAATCCAGCTCTCTGATTGGTCCATTTGTACTACGTGATATCAATACTCGATTCTGATTGGTCAGTCCGTATACCGGCCCCTATTACTACTACTGCGCGTTTGATTGAGGAAACATAGAAAAGATAAGGTTAACAATTTAAATTTTTATAAATTAAAAACTGTATACTGCCGTAAATCCAGAAGTGAAATTTCCCGAGACGCACTCGTACTTTCCAAAGGGAAAATTCGCGTGGAGAACCCAGTCAATATGGCAATCCAGCCTGACAATTATTTTTTTAATGTCAGTGAGTTGCCAGCTTGGAGCTTGTGTGCACAATTCAGATTTGATAGCTAAAATCAGAGCTGATAATTTCAATAAATAACAAGACAGATTTTGTAACAAAAAATCTGCATTGCACTTCTCTAAATAAATCACAACATAAAACTTCATGCTGTGATTTATTTCGTGAAATTTAGACCTTTTGAATTTCTTTTCGGCCAAAAATTCAAATAGGGAATGAAATATAACGCAGCCGAAATTTCGCAATGAAAATTCGGGTCGTTAAGGGTTTGTAACAGAACGTGTGAATGAATAATATTGTCATAAAATTCGAACGCGTTCTACGAGGAACAAGGCATGCCAAGAGTCTAAATGTATAACGGTCATAAATCAAGCGACAAACTAAAACCTTACATGCTACCGTCAAGGTCGCTGCAGATGAAACAGAACTGTCCACACTGTTTTCAGCAACACATCTATATTTTCCTACATCTGATTGGCCGACATCCTTGATTGTCAAACTGTGACTGACACTTGTTGAAGATACATTGAACCGTGGATTGTCCTCGACATTCATTCTTACTCCATCTTTTGTCCAATAAAATATTGGTTGAGGGTTCCCCAATGCTGAACAGCTAAACATCACCTCTTGTTCTTGCTTCTTCGTGGCGTCCTTTGGATTTTTGGATATTTCAGGTGCAACTGATAATGTAAAAGAAAAAATACGAATGAATACATAAACTCAAATTTTTCCCAAATGTACCTACTCTTCATTAATTCTTACAAAATTGTCCCCGAAAATAAGCACCATGAATGTTTCTGTTCTAAAAGTAGTGTAACGATAATGTCAAGATTGTTTACATGCACTGTTATAACCAGGCAAACCACCATTTTGTAACTCCTAGCTAGTATTCTCTTCACTAATTACAGTTCTTTGGCATTAGAGGGTACTCATTAAAATCAGATAAGTCAAGTTCACTGAAGCATCGCTTTTGGCCCGAAAAAGACAGATTAAGAAAGAAGCAAAGAGCGAGAGAAAGAAGTACGTCGAGACACAGCCTAACTATGTTATTTACTTGACAAGAGCAATGATATTACATTGGATATTCAGTGAAGCAATCCTAGAGGATTCATTCCCCAGTCTGTTGTATGCCACGCATCGGTATTGTCCGCTGTCTGTTCTTCTCAAATCCAATATTGTTATCTTATTGTTGTCTAATGAGAAACGTATCCTGGGATTGTCTCGTATAGGAGATCCATCTTTAGTCCATGATATTGTCGGTTCTGGATTTCCGTCAGCGTAACAAGATAAAGTCACATCTTTTCCCTCTGTTTTGGTCTTGGACACGGGATGAATGGTGATCCTAGGTGGGCCTGTGTATCGAAAAAACTCGTAACGAAATTGAAAAAGAAATTACATTCTTAGGAGCATCGATTTTGCTTAAAGATACCATGTTTTTTATCAGCCTGATTTAGTTGTACTTACTACTAGCGTGCAAAGTGGTGACAACTATGGGATTACTGCTTGGTCCATCTCCTTTAACAGTGGATGCAAACACTCTGATGCTGTAATTGACCGACGCTAATAGACCTGTTAGGTCTATTCGATGTTGAGAGGAATCTATTTTCCTGACTTCCGGGCCACTATGATTCTGTGTCAGTGGGTTATAGATTATGGTGTAGCCTGTAATAACACCATTTTGGTCATCAGCTGGAACCTCATCCCACGTAACTAAGATCATGCTGGTCGAGCTGGAGTATCCTGTCACGTTTGCAGGAGAAGCAGACGGCTCTAAAGTTAGACATATTAGATCATTTAGTGCAATAGATTGTGCAGGTAAAAATGATTTTAGTAATTGCCTAGGACAAGGTTTCTTTAATCTCTAAAAAAAAAAATTTGACCAACTCTGGTCTATCGATCTTTTTTTATGATTGAGAAAAGAAAATAATGGCAGCAAAAGGAAGGAGCAGATAAGACGTTTAAATATTTAGAAACTAAGAGAATGCGCCACTTCTGTTAGTTCTGATCTTCGTTTTTGCTTACACCTCAGTTCCTGGGTAACCCAGTGGGACGTTACCTCTGGATTAGCGTAGTGATAACAATAATAATAATAATAATAATAGTATAATAATAATAATAATAATAATAATAATAATAATAATAATTATTATTATTATTATTATATTATTATATTATTATTATTATTAGCGTAGTGATGAACTACTACCTCTTTTCTTTGTGAAATAGTTCAAGCTCGTGCAAGTGTTTTTTTGATTTAGAAAATGTAAAATTTAATCCAATTTTTATCATAATAAAAAGTATACAGTGGCAGCATTCCAAACACACTATTTGTTACAAATGAAAATGCTGCAGTAACTTACTATCCTGATCTGTGTGGACGGATATGGAATAGCTGTCAGGTCCCCTCCCTTTTTCGGTAGACGCGAATATTGCTATGGTGTAGTATACATATTCTTTTAAACCTATCAGTTCTTCTAGATTAAAGTTCTAGATTAAACAAAACACTCACGGTCCTGATCGGTGATAACAAAAATAGGATTACTGTACGGCCCGTTTCCTTTCGCCGTAGATGCGAACACTGTAATGCTGTAGTTGACATACTCTCTCAGACCAGTCAGATACAATTGATGATCTGTATAGTCCACTGTTTTACTGCCGTTGTCATCCTCAATTAGTGAATAATAGGTAATCGTGCAAGTTAAAATGATACCATTCTGATTAGCAGCTGGAACATCACCCCACTCCACTAAGATGCTGGTTGAGCTTGTGTTATGTCCTCTCACATTCGTAGGAGCTGCAGAAGGCTCTGAGGTAAACAAAGGCGTAATGTTTATTGAACAATGAAGACACTGCAAAAATGACTCGTTTTACCTATTAGCAGAATCGTTTTACCTAACCGAAATCATATTTGGCTCATTGTCTATAGACCTGCGTAAGTTCTATATGCCATGACCTTTGTGCAAACATACATAAACTAAATGACTGTAAATATATGAAAATCATAGATGTGAACTGCGATTGAAGAAATGAATATGGAAGCGATCCTCGCAGTTATGAACACTATGACGTAAGTAGTAGTGAAAATAAGGCCTGAAGAAAATTCAGGCCCCTACGGGATTTGAACTTATGACCTCTGCGATACATGTAGGTACAGCGCTATCCCAACTGAGCTAACAGGCCAATTGGGAGGTGGTCTTTATGTTGGATCCAAATAAAACCTTAGCCCTCACTTTCACTAATACTTAAGTGGTGTTTACAGGATCACTTCCATATTCACATATTAACTGAGAGTCTTTTTTACCTTCTTCATTTGTGGTATATATATATACATATATAAAATAAATGACTGTAAATATATGAAAATCATATATGTGAACTGCGGTTGAAGAAATGAATATGGAAGCGATCCTCGCAGTTATGAACACTATGACGTAAGTAGCAGTGAAAATAAGGCCTGAAGAAAATTCAGGCCCCTACGGGATTTGAACTTATGACCTCTGCGATACATGTAGGTACAGCGCTATCCCAATTTAGTTAACAGGCCAATTGGGAGGTGGTCATTATGTTGGTTCCAAATAAAACCTTAGCCCTCACTTTCACTAATACTTAAGTAGTGTTCACAGGATCACTTCCATATTCACTTAACTTAGAGTCTTTTTTACCTTCTTCATTTGTGGTAACATTCAATAAGGAGCTGCTAACACTTGAGCCAACCACGTTGCTCGCAAACACCCTAACAAAGTATGTTGTCCAGGGAAGAAGGCCATTAAGAGAAGCCCTTGTAAAGGAGCTGGATATCACACAGGAACTTCTTGAGAGAGATCCTTGGCATAACACATCTCTGAATGACGTCTGATCGTGCGCACTGATCTCTATCTTGTAGTTTGTAATAGCACTGTTTCCATCAAAGCCAGCTGTCCAGGAGATATTTACGACTCTTGAACTCTTTGATACAACTCTCACATATTTTGGTGGGCTGGGTGTAGCTAACGGGTTAAAAGAATGGTTTTTAGATAGTCCACTGGATTTTTTTTAAATCAAAGAAATTCCACTATTAAGGGAACAAAAAAAAAAAACAAAACAAATATCAGGAATTTTATCTGTTAGCCACTAGTTAAACCTAGTTCCTATCTAACTTTCATTACCCCTTTCTTTTGCAATGACATTCTGAGGATGAAAAGTGGTCGTGGAAATATCTGAAGTCAGAATGATAAAATATTGATTTTCACTATTTGAATTTTAAGAGCGAAGCTACAAGGTGGTTCGCCAAACAGTAATGTTGTTTTTTCAAGGTCACTTTAGATCTCTAAATATTTCTGTTAGTTAACCCTTCCACTCTCGTGATCTCTTTAGTAATTCTCATTACTGCCTGCCATACATTGCTTATAATTTTAGTGTGGAGAATTTGGTATTTTTCTATATTCTCATTACTTGCCTACTTGAGATGATATAGATATTGTGAGGAGAAATTCATTCTTGGTCACTACTGGGAGTGAAAGGGTTAACAACTATTCACCGAAGTAGAGATGGTTTGTTGCGGATATTTCTCCACTGGTAGCGACCGACACTGAGGTGAATAGTTGTTTTAGTATATACTAAAACAGTGGGATAATATAGTGCAAATAGATGAATTCAACTCATTTATTCCTGCAACGATTATAATATTTTCGGGCGCAAATCCCGCACGAGTTACTCGGAGGTGAATTGCATAAGGGATATTTGCAGTTTGAGTAGCCAATCAGAGCGCACTTTGAACGCTATTTTAGTATATATAGTTATGGACGTTACTGATTATTTATCCTCAAATATAAAAATTCAATTATGAAATTTAAGTTAAGGGTTTTTCTTATGGTATATGATCAAATCTATTTAAATGTGGAAGTACTCACACAATACTTTAAGAGTCTCCCCAAGAGATCTTGAGATTCCGACACTGTTGATAGCCATACATCTATATTGGCCTGCGTCTGATCGACTGACATTGATGATATTCAAGCTGTAAATGGAGTTCCATGAGACTGCACTTAGTCGTGGATTTGTTGTCACGTTCAATGT